CCTCCAATGGGAGGGTTGGACGTGCAGCTAGCAGGACCTGCGGAAGGGGCGGCCGCAGCTGCCACGGGCAGGGCGTCTGTAGAAACCCCTCTGGGCCTGGAACCCTTGGCAGTCGGGGGGCCTAAAGCGAGGGGAAAAGGGCCTTGGAGGCCGACCCCCTGCAAAAGGGAATTCGAAGGGACGAAAGGAACTAAGGTGGGCAGCGGAAGGTCTCAGTTCTAAACGTCTGGAAACGCTGGGAAGGATACATTTCTTGTCCCTTGTTTCTATCAGTAAGGGCTCCAGGGGGCCCCCGAAAAGGGAAGGACCTTCAAAGGCTGAAGAGGCTAGATGCCACTTTGAGCGGGCATCCGCTTGCCAATTTCAGAGCCATAAGAGTCTTCGGGAAGTTATAGATGAGCCAATCGCTTTACCCGCGAAGCGGGACGCATTAAGCGTTGCGTCAGCTGAAAATTCCAGGGCAGCTAAGATCTTGATGGGATCTGGTATCCGACACAGGGAACCTATTTTGTAATTGTCGGATCCATAGGATGGAGGCCCGATTAAAAAATGATGAAGCCATGGCAGATTTTGCTGCCCAGGCTGAGGCTAAGTGAGCTTTTATCAGGATTGCTCCAGGCGTTTGTCCTCCGGGCAGAGATTGTCCTCGGGAGGACAGTTACATTAGTTGGAGCTGCAAGGGCTGCCACTGGAGGATCAACTGTGGGAACCTGAAGGAGGGAAGACAATTCTGGCGCTAGATTATAAAAGCGTCTATCCAGCTGGTTTGGGTTAGGCCCAGATGCTGGCAGCGCCCATTGTTTCTTCAAAACATCTCTAAAAAGTTTGGGCCCCGGAATCTCCTCAGTCTCAAGTTCGGGAACTTCAAACAGGGGAAGGGAAGCCCCCGAGTCCCCTGTAGGAGCGGAGGGAAATGAAGCAGTTCCCAGTCGAGTGGTCAATTTAGCTTTGTGGAGTAATGACCTGAAAAGTTGGGGCTTAAACAGGCCAACAAAGGATGGCTGATCAGGTCCTAAGTCCTCATCATCGGAAAGATCCCTTTCCCGAGCATCCTCATCAGCGAAAGATGGATGCTCAGATGGGGCTGCAGAGGGAGCGGCAACCCCAGTAGAGATGTGGCCATCCTCCAGTAAGGAGCCCTCTAAATCAACATTAGAAGCAGCAGAACCTGCTACCCATGAGGATGTCCTATGTTGCATTTCTGCCTGAACTCCTTTTTGAATAGCCGCTTGGATAAAGGTTAAGAGTTCTGGGGCAATATTTGGACCCCCCAGGACACTTCCCCCAGCCTGAGGCAAAGTAGAAGGAACCCCCACAGGAGTAGAAGAGACCATAGCTGGAGCTGGGGGAGGAGTGGGGTCAGATTGAGGGCCAAAGAGGGCCTCACAGACCTCCCCCTGCAAGGGGGATTGCAATTGGCTCACATCCGGAGATAATGGGGGTAGGGACTGGATTTGTTCAGCAGGTTGCTCGGATGGCAGAGCAGAGGAAGGTTGGGGAGCCAAAGGTGGCTGAGGAGCCACAGGCCCTTGCTGAACAGGGGTCTCTCTAATAGAGGCTTCTCTCATGGCCTTTTGAATTGAGCGTTCTATCGCTTGGTGCAAACGAAGTTCCTCTTTGGCCTTGTCTGCCGCCTTCTTGTCCTCTTTAGAGGAATGTGCCTTCTTCGCCTTTTTGGCCTGCTCAGCAGATGAAGGGCCAGGCATAGGTTCCTCAGTTTGGTGGCGTTTAGACGCCTTGGAATGGCGGGCGGCCATCTTGGATATGAAGGCCTCTAATTGCCACGAGGCAGCAAGAAAAATGGCAGCCGTTAACTGTGAAAGGCAGGAGCCTATGGACAAAGATTAAAATGGGCTGCTAGTAATCAGTCAGAATTGCTGCTAATATATATAAAAGCCCCCTAATTAATGCTGCAGCTATAAGCTCCAAATGGAGCTATTGCCCCTTTAAGAACCACAAGCCCAGGTCCATTAATCTCACCAATTTGGAGCTGTTGATCACTCAGGCGGCGAAGGCAGATGAAAAACTCCAAGCGGCCCCTGCAGGCGGCAAGCTGAGGCTATGAGGGAGAAAAAAGGCTGAAAAACAGCACCGCGAGAAAGCTGCTGAGAGGTGCCTTCAGAGAGGTGGGAAATCCCCACTCCCCGGAATCAAGCTGTAATTTGAGCCGCTTGGCAGCTGGGAACCTGCTACTCCACGAGGAGGTTCCCCACGGCGGTTTCAGACGTGAGCTGTTCTCGCCGTAGCTGGGAGAGGCTTGATAACAAGCCTCAATCCCTGCAGACCTCAAGCGGTCACAGCGGAGAGCAAACAGTCTCGCTGAAGCACCTCTTTCTCACTCACAAAAGGGGAATTGTTTTGCAAATTAGCAAGGCTGAAACTATGCCAAAGGCAGGGAAAGGGCTTGGTGCATCCGATCTAGCACAGATCGAGTCAGAAAGCTGGGGAAGCTGCAGGAGGAGGAGTTTAACAACTTCCTGACTCGATCTGGCTGGATTAGGGCAGTTAACCCTGTCCTGACCGCTGTCTCCTTCGCTTCCCTAGAAAGGAGAGGAAGGGAAGCATTTCTCAGGCATGAAATCCCTATCCCACACCTATACCTGCAGGGCAGAGGAGTGTTTCAGCAAGTTCTGACCAATTCTGGAGAACCGGTAGCGGAAATTTTGAGTAGTTCAGAGAACTGGTAGTAAAAATTCTGACTGGCCCTGTCCCCCCATCTATTATCTGCCTCCCAAGTCCCAGCTGATCAGGAGGAAATAGGGATTTTGCAGTATCCTTCCCCTGGAGTGGGTGGGAATGGAGATTTTACAGTATCTCTCCCCTGCCACGCCCACCAGGCCATGCCACGCCCACCAAGCCACACCCACAGAACTGGTAGTAAAAATTTTTGAAACCCACCACTGCTGCAGGATTCCAGATGTCTTTGTGATGAAAACACTCATTGATCTTATAAAGAGCTATTTCTCCCCCTCACCCACAGAAAAAGCACGCACGCTGCCACTATGATTGGTATAATTCTGATTACCAGCTTCCAGATATTCCCATGAATGGCTAAAGTAAATTTTAACCTCAGCAAAATCAGGATGTCAGTATTTTCAATGTCAGTGCAAAGTACATCAGCAAAATTGGGAAGCTAGAGCTTGTCAGGGTATGAGAATGAGGTTCTGAAGCCAAGTGAAGTAGTTTAATATAAAATTCAAAGGGCACATTCAGAAGTTCACTGGTGTTACCGAGCACATCTCAAAAACATTTAATTACAACCTCTGGAAAAAAAAGCATGGTAGTCGATGCATTTGATTTAGCGCTTCAAAGACGGAGTTATTTATTCATATTTCCTATTTCTAAGCCACCCATCTCCCTCAGATGCTTTGCAAAATGTACACTTTGTACATCCCTATTTCTTCAGCTACTTTAATCAAACCATTGAGTTGGTCTCCATAGTAACAAATTAGAGTTTTGCCTCTCCAACATCATTACCAGAATCTGACATTCAAACATTTTTAGGCTTGGAATTGTGTCTTGACCAGGCATGAGGTGTTTTTGATTCAAAGGTAAACTCCCCAAATTTGCAGCATTTTGAACTCTCCACAAACCATCCAAATCAGTCATCTTTTGCATTCCACCCTCTCTTGCAAAGGTAATTAGAATCATTCTTATTCTACTATCTTCATTTTCTCATCTCAATCTGACACATGTTGTTTATATTAATTATATTCATTATTAACCAAGCTTCTACTAATTCACCTTACCACACAATCCTTCCCCCTCCAAATCTAGGAAAATGCCATTTCCTACAGCAGGGCTGTCAAACTCATGGCCTGCAGGCCGGATGTGTCACACACTGGCCATGCCCATGCCTGGTTTCTAGTGAAGGAGGGAAGTCACGATATCTTATGTGACGATGCCATGACAACGCATGTTTGACACCCCTGTCCTCCAGTATTTTACCTTCACATAAGTTAGGATAAGTTCAGTCAACATAATGGTAGTTGCCATGCTACACACATTATTTTGTATTCTGCATAAGCATTTGTCATACCGTGTAAAAAAATCTCTTTGCACCTTTTCCTGGCTAGGAATGAATTTTCGTGCAGCTATAAAATTATGGATTCAGGCAAAGAATTTCTCTTTGATTATGGCTACTAGATCTCTGGTGCAAAAATCCTAGATTGCTAGATAGTAGCAAAGACAATCATAATTTGATGCAGATTGTCTACTTCTGAATTTGATTTGTTACCTAGAGGTACCATGGCATGATTATCCAATGTAATTGTGTAATTTCCTCCCTGAAATCTGGTTCTGCAGATTTTTTTGGTCCTGCTGCAATGATTCTATATGCCAATAATTTTTTTAGAAATTGGCACCCAGTTAGAAATGGGACAGAATTTTCATTGAGTCTTTATCTGAGCCAACCAAATACACATCTTAAATCACATTTTACATCTTAAATCAACATGTATTAATCCGTTTTTTAAAATTGACACTTTTCTAACATTTTAGAGCCGCTTAGAGAGGGCAGGAAAGCACTGTGAAGCAGTATATAAGTCTATTGCTATTTTACTGTAATTCTTAGATAAAAGTACATTAAAAATGCATACATTTTGGGTAGTCATATATTAAAATAAAAAGGAAAATGATGTACACATTTAATTTATATGGGTGTTTTTAACTGGCAGACTGATATGGAAATTGGAGATAATATTGATTTTATGACAGAATATCTTTGAAACTGAGCTGAACCAGAGACAGAGTGATTCAGTCATCCTTGCTTCCAATTCATTTATTGTTTTAATTTAAAATATTTAGAACCAAGTAATTACACATTGTGCCCTATTATATCATAATAGCTTGAGTTCACATATAATTCTACTATAATGATCTACTGTATGTTTAGAATCAATACCGGTAGCGACTTCCCTGCACGCAGTTCCAGTGTATTATTTTCAGATATATGAAAAAATTATATGGTTGTGTATATTATAATAAATTCACAGCCAAAATTGTCCTTTTCTTTTTCTTTTAATGTCTTAAGTCACATTAAAGTTGAACACATTAGGAAAAAAAAAATAAATATTTAAATTATCAAATTTAAGTGCCACCACCTGCATTTCATTATCAAGTCTCTAAGTTTATTTCTAAAATATATAAAAAATTTGAAAAATCATATAGCTGCCAAAAATAGATTTCCGATGCAGAAAAGTCCACAATAACTACATACGAATTTCAATGCCTGCTAGTGTTCCAGAAAAATAAGGTGAAAATAATACAGTTCTCCATGTACAAACGATTAAACATTTCCTTGCTTCAGATCCAGAGATTATCTTGATCAACCATAAAATCAGTTTTCTGTATCAATTTCTCCCTATAAAAAACCATTTCTGGTATTCTGAATTGGAACATGGTCGTAACAAAGGTGCTGGGTATCCATTTTCTACATTAGATTCAGCTTGTAGACATTTCTGGGTCTGCTTATGTATTAAAACTCCATCCTACAAAACAATAAATAGTTTTTATAATATCTGGTAAAGACAAAATAACCATAATAAGAGTTAAAATTCCCATTTTAAACTTTATTAACTTCACAAAAAGACAACTAATAAAGAACAGAATTCCTGCTAGATCATTTAGTGTTCACATTAACAAAACCCGTTGTGGGTTCGTGCTCACATACTTTATTATTAAATTAACATTATGTTAATTCAATTTTCATAAAGAGTTGTAAGTAGTGATTTGGATCAACATATATCTATAGATAACAATAACACCATTATACAAAGGAGAGAATCATATAGGTCAGCATCAGCTAGAATTAGAATTTTTGACCAAGGAAGACCGTATATGTTGCTCTACAGGAAATCTGCTCTGTGTATCCTGTTATATACATAGACCTCATTTTTATAGGAGAATTTGCAGAGTGCAGGGGATTCTACTGTATCTTCCAAAGGTTCTAATGCTTTCATCAAAATGATGAAAGTAGAGTCATGCTGTAAATCCTGCCCTTTTCATACATGCGGGTAATGTCAGAAAACATGTTCAGAACACATGTACAAAAAAGAGAACCTCTGCCACAATAGCACAAAACTATTGTTATTTGCCCTCAGCCTTTGGCAGATGTGTCTGATTCCAGCTCCCATGCAATATTATAATGAGTCATCGCTGGTCAAGATGGGAGGAACATACATTTAATCAGTCAATCAATCAATCAATACTGATCTACTTATAAGGAACTAGCATTCCTTGATCATGAAATGCAATTTCTCCAAAGAGAAACAGCCATTAAAACTATTCCTTTTTTATTATTCATCTCAGACAGTGTTTAGGAGTAGGTAACAATAACCTTAGATTTGGAGATGCAATTCAGAGGTATGAACATTCACTCATTTGGTTAAGTGCTACATTTTGCAATGTTTTTGCTTGAAATGTATAAAACTGTCAATATAAGCTCATAGTGACTGCAGGTTGTCAAAGCTGCACATGCCTTTCTTGGCTACTTCCCAAGAATATGGAATTTATCAAGACATCAAGAGTTGCTAAGAATAATTAAAATAAGAATTATACCATGGAAAATTGGAAGGGGGATTGTCAATATCTGAAGTACGACATTTGGACACAGGCAAGAAAGCAAATTTTCAAGCAATTGAACATTTAATCTTTTTAAAGCAGTTGCTTATATATTTATCTTCCTCTTTTTCCTTTTCCTTTAAAAAGCCATCGTTACATATAATGCTAGAAATTGCTAGCTCACCAATTTAATCTATATGGTCTGGTAATGATCTTTTTATTTCTCACTGCTATTGCTGTCATTGTTATTTCTTTATATTAATAAAGAAAAAGAAAAACAGTATTTTTAAAAACAGATATGTTTGTTCTGCTTTTTGAAGTACAAATATCAATGGTTATAGGAAATATAGGAAAAGAGGATGAAAGAATATACAGCACTGAAGCACCCACCTAAAATTTATTTTTATTTATTTTAGGAATTTCATATTGCCACCTATTCGCACATGGCGACTCAAGGCAGCTTACAGGAATATAAAAACCTCATATATAGAACAATAAAAGTGAATGCTCACATTATAAATTTATAATTCAATAAATAATATAATATAATATAATATAATATAATATAATATAATATAATATAATATAATATAATATAATATAATATAATATAATAAATATAATATAATATAATGGCAGGAGTACCATTTTACTGTAAACAAAAAGTATCATTCAGTACAAACTTCTAATGTTTAATAGCCCATCCCTATTGCAGCTTAATATTTGTTAACAAATTTGACTATTCTTACCTCTCTAAGAATAAATTTCTGATTTTCAGGAATATTTTGGATACTATCTTCACATAAGTACATTTTCAAAAAATCAGTTCCTGGATCAACAGCTGCACAGACTTCTGGTTGACGAGTATTATAACGTATTTCATTGTGGGAGGTATACTCAAAAAACTGTTATTCCCAAAATAAAAAGGTAAGTAAATCTCTGTTAAACTTCAACTATGCATTTCTATGATCAAAAGCATTGTGAACAGAAGGATAGTAAAAATATAAAAAACCATCTCTAGACCAAATCTGAAATTCATCAGATAATAATTACAATGACATTTATCTACTTGGAAATTTTATATGGGCATCTATGTTTTATAAAACAATCCTTGACAGCTAACAATTTCGATATTACAAATATTGAAAACATGAGATTAAAACTTCAACAAAGGATCAACATCACAACACTACTCTCCAAAATTACCAATAAAGCTGGGTTCACCTCTCATTCTTAGGGAAGATCAGGTCTTAATGGCCTTTTGGTAGAGAAAGTGCTTATATCCTGGGTCCCACCAGATGACAACACTAAACAGAAAGGACTGGAGCAAGCTTACTTTATCCAATGTAGTGAGACAGGTAAATGTCCTGAGAGAGAGGCAATCCCACAAATAACCTGACCTTCAGCCATACAAGGTTTTAAATGTGATAACCAGCTCCTTGCAAAGAAACTTGTAAAGAAACTAGGAGTCAGTGCAGATTGGGAAGTAGTGGTGTAACATAAATAAATTGTGGGTCACCCAGAATATATGTGTTGCTGCATTCTGGATCAGTTGAAATTTCCAAGCAATCTTCAAGGGCAGCCTCATGAACAGTGCATTGCAGTAATCCAAACAAGAAGTGACTAGATCATGAGTCATAATAATCAGGGACCCCAAATCCAGGAATGGGTGGCACTGACGCACAAGATGATTTTATACAAGGGGTCTCCACAGCCATCTTCTTTGAGAAGGTGCTAGTCTGGGAGAACCCCCAAGTTACACACTAACACATGGAGAATGCACCCTATAAAGAGTTAAAGATGACCCCAAACCCCAATGCAACTCCATCTTGTTAGATTTTCTGTGCCAGCACTGGATCAGATCCATGGTTGCCACGAATTTCCATCCAGCCCAATGAAGGCAGATTGAATTCAGTCAAGGGAACTCCATTACTATTTCAACCATAGAATCAAGTTCAGGCAGAAAAGCCACTATACAGTACAATGAGGGAGGGACGTAAACAGCAGCTCATAAATGGGTTTTTTAGAGCCCAATTTCATAAACAAGACCTCATACTCTCTTATGTTTGAGGCAGTACCACTAAAGGCTATTAGAAACTCCAAGATGACAAAAACCACACCCATATCTTTATCTTCAAGTGTTTTTAAAAATATTTGCTTTATTAAGTGAAAAATCCTCTTAAAAATCGTATTTCTTTCCGAAATAATTGTTCTGTATTTGTACTCTGACTATCACTGCTATTGTTCTGTGAAATGCTGTAATTGTCAGTCTTCTCAAGTGGATCTTAGGGGCAGAATTTATAAGGAGCTGACCAAACCCAATAAGAAGAACCTTAGTCCAACTTTCCAATACATATGCACACCCATATTCCTTGAACTTCTGATTACAAAGCAAGACTAGGTTTAATATGGGTGGTTATGCTCAAAACTGAAACGTTTTGGTACAGTTAGATGAGAAGAAATAACAAGACCATGCGTTTAGAAGGAGAAAACTATTATCTGACACTTGAATAGAAAGTAATACCTTACCTGATTTTGTCCCATGCCATGACATGGATATAATATGACTTTGTGTCCTGTAATTTCATGCTCGCTGGGAGGATTGTAATCAAAGCAATAATTTAGCATTCCTCTATTCTTCAGCTAAGAGGCAAAAAAGGCTATTAAAATATATCATTTTAATCCAAACATCCCATTGTGTGTGTGTGTGTGTGTGTGTGTGTGTGTGTGTGTGTGTGTGTGTGGTGTGTATGAGAGAGACAGACAGACAGGGAGAGGGGGAGAGGGAAAGGGAGATGGGTGGGTGCATATAAGATTCACAATATAACTGCCTACTGAAATAATTATTGTAGTTTGTTTATTCTAATTATTATTATTATTATTATCATCATCATTATTATTCATTTAATGCTTGTTGAGAATATATTAATGTCTCAGGTAATACTTTGCTAGTATTATGCTGTAAACACAGAATTTCCCACTAAAAACCATTGCAGCATGAACTGATCTTTTATTTATAGTGAACTCAAAATGTCAGTCCCAAGAGTTACATAAAAGCGAGAAAATTTTCCCTTCAAGGAAATTTATGGTATGATCATCAGCACAGAATTTCACAACACAAGGATCTGCCAAGAACTGATAAAACTTGTATGGAAAAGGAACAATAATATAATGTTTGCCTGGAGAACAGCTTTTCAGCAAAATGAAAGACAGCCTTGAAAACATGGATGGTGACCTCCTTGGCACACAGCAACAGGCAAACAAGCATACCCAGTTACATAGCATGCAACTAAATTTGATCAACTGGACAAATTTGACTCAGGGCAAATTATAAGTATCGTGAGTGAACTATTGTCCCAAAGATGCTTTTCAAAAGGAAATTGGCCTTTGTTTTTTTCCTTGAAAACATTTCACTTCTCATCAAAGAAACTTCCTCAGTTCTGATTGAATAGTAGAGAATGGAAGGATTTATATTCTTTGCAGTCATCTGGTCATTAGCACTCTGAAGGTCAATTGTTAGAGTCATGCAAAGAATATAAATCCTTCCATTCCCCACCATTCACTCAGAATTAAAGAAGCTTCTCAGATGAGAAGCAAAACGTTTTCAAGGAAAAAACTAAGAAAGTCCAGTTGCTTTTCGAAAAGCACCTTTGGGACATGACGTGGATGATTGAGAATCTCCATAGACATGAATAAACTACTAGTCACTCACTGGTGCTCCAGATTTTCTTAGGCAGGCATAGACATGAAAGTATTTCCCAAGAAAACACCTTTCCTTTTACAGGAGAGAATCATCAGTATCGGGAATTATTTTAAATAAACTTCAAATCAGTGATGAAATGTAAAATTTGTTACTACCAGTTCTGTGGGCTTGGCTTGGTAGGGGGGAGGGGTTAATATGACTTAGTAGGCGTGGCCAACTTTTTTTTTAAAAAAAACCATTTTTTCTACAACCTCTTTGGCTGAAGAGGTTGTTAAAAATGCTTTTAAAGCCTCTGACGATCCCAGCTGACTTGCCTGATCAGCAGAGGCTTTCTTTTTTTTTAAAAGCCTCTGATAATCCCAGCTGACTTGCCTGATTGGCAGAGGCTTTCTTTTTTTTTTTAAAGCCTCTGATGATCCCAGCTGAGCCACGTGATCATCAAAGGCTTTTTTAAAAAACTTTTAAAAGCATTTTTTCAGCCAAAGAGGTTGTAGAAAAAATGCTTTTAAAAATAAAAAAAGTCTCTGATGATCGCGCAGCTCAGCTGGGCAATGGGGGGGGGAGGGATTTTTGCTACCGGTTCTCTGAACCACCCACCTCCATCGCTACCGGATTGGGCGATCCGGTCCGAACCGGGAGCATTTCACCCCTGCTTCAAATGTGAACCTACAGCCAACAACAGGTAGTTGTGGGTTTTTTTGAAGAAATTTTTTTTTTTAAAAAACACATAAACATACAAAATATCTTTTCAGAACGAGCCATTGATCTGGTCATAAGTAGGTACAATTACTAATTCCTCTTTAACAAAAGCTTTTCCCAAATCCCCACTAATTATCATCTTTTTAAAAAAAAAGCAAAAAAATGTATCTAACTTATATTATTTTACACAAATCAATTACCTTTCTATTATTTCACCACAAATATTAATTTTCAAATAACACAACTTAATATTCTCTAACATGATTGCCATAAATTCTATCTAATTAAAAAAATTCTTAAAACCCATTACACTGATCTTAAAATCCTTAATTCAATATCATTTCAATTTCTTTTCTTTTTAATATGGATGGATATATCTTAAAAGCATAAATCATCTAAGTATTTACGCAGTATTTTAACTATTAGCATTTATCATCTTCATTTTACTATTTATCTCAACTTAACCCTTTTAATCACAACATAATCATCTCATTGTTAGTATTAATTCCAGTATGGTCATCTTTATTCTAAAGGTTTATCCCAGTATATAATCTTCATCTTAATCATCTTCTTTTGGCTGTTAATCACAGCATAAGCATCTTAAGTTTTATTGTTACACCCAGTATAATCATCATTTTTACTGTCAATCCCAGCATAATTATTTTTATCTTTACTATTATACCCAGTATAATCATCTTATTTTACTGTCAAACCCAGCATAATTGTCTATATTTTTACTGTTATACCCAGTAAAACCATCTTTGTTTTGCTGTCTATCCCAGCATAATCACCTTAGTTTGCTGCTTATCCCAGCATAATCACCTTTTTAAAAAAAAAAGTATTTTACCATCCATCTATACATTACTTATTCATGTTCAATCACATTATCATTATCATCTTTGTAACAATTTAGCAAGAGGCTTAGTTCTTACTCCAAACACATCCTTATGTAAATTAATAAATTTCTGTTAATATATTTGTTCCTCTCATATTCTAACTTTCTTCTTTATTTCAATTTTTTATATGTTATATCAAATTCTTCTCATATTCATATTCATTTTTATTCATCTATAAAAACCTCCTTTTTATTATTACTGTCCATCTTTACATTGCTTTATTTTTAATCACATTGTTTCTATCTTCTTTTTTCCAGCCGTGTGTATATCGTTCCTCATTTCCTTGTCTGTTAGCATATATTACATTTCAACTTCAATGTTCACAATTTAAGTCTCCATATGTCAATTTAGTTCTTTTTCTTACTTCTATTTCAACCAAATCACATCAATTTTCTTCTTTTGTTCCTGTGCCATTTGACTTCTTTTGTTCCTGCGCCAATTACTCCAATTGTAAGAGTTCCATTATATTTTCCCTTATTTGCCCCCCCCATCAAGCCGCCTTCAGACAAAGAAAAAACAGCTTCACCGCCAAAATCCCACGGTTGTTATCTGTAATATTCACAATGTTCCCAAACAAGGACCAAGTTACAATGGTTTTTTTAAAACCAGGTGTCTCTCTACAATCCACAATTTTCTTTAGTCATGCAAATCGCCATTTTGTTTCAATTATATAACCTTCCAGCTTGATTCTCTTCTTCTTCTGTATTCTAAAGATAATAATTCTTCTTTTTCTTCTTTTCTTTAAAATCCAATTCAAATTTAAAGCTTGTTCAATTTTGAACCAAGTCTCAATGTTTATTTTTCCAATTTAGTCTATTCAAATATCAATTTTCAGTCGGGTCTTTTTCTTTTCTTTTAAAAATTTCACCTTAAAATCTTCTATGCCCCATAGCTCTTCAGCCGCTGTTTAAGGCTAGAGGTCTAACAAATAAAAAATAACCATTATTCCAAACGTTGTTTCAAGCCTGGGTTGGTTGTCACTCACCCGGCTTCAAAGAGCATCGTTCTTTTCCGCTTTCCTCCTGCACATCACTTGCCCGGCTTGTCCCAGTTTTGTGGCAGTCGCCATGGCTGCTGCCCCCCACCGCCGACTTGCAGAGAGTTCCCTCCGACCTCCGAGGAACTTGCCTGTTCCTCTTGGTCGTCCGAGGCACCTCTCTTCCTCCCCGTCCCTGCAGGACAATTCCAGTCCGAAGACCCATCAACAGCGGTTCGGCAGTCGGGGTTTTCGCGGGGCTCATCAGAGCCTGCTATTTCCCCAACTGTCTCGCCACAACATCAAACCGGAAGTCCAACAGGCAGAGTTTTTATTTTGGTCATAGACAAGCATAAGACAACATAAAACTGTAAGGATATAAAACTTGCAATCATTTTAGCAACTTTACAGCTCTAATGTTGCAGTGCTAACATTAAACTATTTCATGCAATAATGTTTAAAACATAAAACTAATAGAGAACAATAAATATGTAAAACTATTAGAGAATCAAATTATATAATACAGTATACTATATTTACTAATTATAATATTTTTTATTTTATTTTTTTTATTTTAATTTGATTTATATGCCGCCCTTCTCCGGAGACGCAGGGCGGCTTACAATGCGTTAAGCAATAGCCTTCATACTTTTGTATATTTATACAAAGTCAGCTTATTGGCCCCACAAACTGGGTCCTCATTTTACCTACCTTAGAAAGGATGGAAGGCTGAGTCAACCTTGAGCCTGGTGAGATTCGAACTTACAGTAATTGCAGACAGCTGGTGTTAATCACAATGCTTTTTAGTCTGCTGAGCCACCAATATAAATACAAGTCACCCTTGACATATGACCATAATTGTGATGGAAATTTCCATCGCTAAGCAACTGCAGTTTGCAACATGTAACCGCATTGCTTAGTGACTGCATCTTGGTAGATCCTAGTTGCTGTTGCAACTCCAGATGTGCAGGTTTTTAAGTGGGAAGTGGAAGGCATCCCAAATAAGTAGCACAGGGGGTATTGCAGTGTAGTGGGGAGGCTAGGGGAAGTCTGGTGCAGGCCACACATGAATTGGGAGTTACTGCAGTGTGGCATGAGTTCAGGGAAACAGGATGCATGCATATGTGCAAACATGGAGAGACCAGGGAAAGAATACACTGTGGCTTGGAGCTTCTTACCACACTGTGGTTCTGGAGCTGCAAGAAGCACCTGACCCAAAGCAAGAACCCTCAGATACTTCTGGAAGTGTCAGCCACCCCCAGCCCACCCCAACAGTGTGGCACAAAACTGCTGTGCCCCAGCAAGTTCCAACAACATGGCCCAAAGTCACCATGCCCCAGGAAGCACAAAGAGGTTTCTTGGTGTACCATAGCTGGTTGTACTTGTGGCTAGCATCTGGTTGTTTGCTGCTGAAAATTAGGATGCTCCACTAAACTGGGAACCAAAAGCCATTTTTATTCTTTCCAACCCAACAGAAAGTTAGATAGAAGATTATACGATGGGAGTTTGGACTCTGTTGTTTGTATGTCCTCCTTCTCAACACAACAGCTATCTAAAAACAAACAGTGCAGGACCAAATAAAGGGGGAAATCCTCTGAATTGTTATAGGTGGACAACAGTTTAGAAAGCTGTCAATTACTCTATTCTGAAGCTTCTCTTCCTAGTCACATGACCCTGAGTGGAGCTGCTTGGAAAGAATCCAGAAAGCATGCTCAATATCAGGGTTCTCTAAAGTGGTCACTATTGATCCTGAAGGATTGGTAGGACTATCCAAAGAGCTGATATTGTTATTTATTTAATTATTGATAGTAATATTACTTAAAATAGTACTTATTAAATTATTTTCATATAATCAATGTTTAGGGATCAATGAATAAGCTGAAACTTCATGAAGGGGTCCATGAACTAAAAAGTATGGGGACCACTGCTCTATTTTTTCTCCCTACTTTAGAGTTAAAATGTACTTTTATATGAATCTACCAATTATCATCAACATCATCATCATTTAGCATTCATATACCTTAAAGAAGAGGTCTTCAAACTTGGCAGCTTTAAGACTTGTGGACTTCAACTCCCAGAATTCTGGCTGGAGAATTGAAGTCCACAAGTCTTAAAGCTGCCAAGTTTGAGGAGCCCTGTCTTAAAACCACACTAAAGCAACAATTACAATTATTATCCCAATGGAGATCCATACTAAGAGATGCTGACTTACCTAAGGCTTCCTAACAGGTTAATGGCAGAAGTGTAATTGTACCTGAGGACTTTTTGACTCCCTTACACTGTGTCTTTGCTACTGTAAGGATTTATTAATTTATTTATATTTATGTTCATTTATTTCTACCATTATAATGGCAAAGAAAAAGAAACAAAACATAGTTTTTTGTTAATCACTCACGGTAAAAACTTTCCCAGAAAATCAGTACAGTATATAGAGCAACAAATTTTCCACACTGTTTTTGGCAAACTGACATACAGATAGTCGTTGACTTACCATCATTTGTTTATAACGGCACTGAAAAAAGTGACTTAGAACCATTTTTCAATTTACAACCATTGCATCATCCCCATGGTCATGTGATCAAAATTTGGACTCTTGACAACTGGCATGAATTTATGACAACAGCAGTATCCCAGGGTTCTGTGATCAGCTTTTGCAACCTTCTGACAAACAAAGTCAATGGGAAAGCCAGATTCACTTAACAGCCGTGTTACCAACTTAGCAACCACAGTTGTTTCACTTAGCAATCATAGCAACAAAGTGGGGTAAAATTCACTTAACAACTGTCTTGCTTAGCAACAGAAATTTTGTGCTCAATTCCGGTTGTAAGTTGACTTGTACCTTTTCTATTGCATCAGGTTGAGCGACTATGCAAAACCCCAAATGTTGTTTACCCCAGTATGTTTGGGAGGCTAAAATCCATCTACCCAGTAATATTATTTGCAATTCTCAGGACTGTTTGTTTAAATAATTCTACCTGTCTATCTTGAAAGAGTGTGAAGACTTGAAAATTCCCTTATCAAGAAGGGTTTCACTTACCATCCCAAAGAAGCCAGGTCTGTCCTCTGGGACATGAAGTTCAGGATAAATATTCTCTAAGTACCATTTAAAATCCTTGCACTTGAGCTTCTCTCGAAGCAGTTTTCTTTCTGTCACATCTCCATAGGGTTCCTAACGTGAAATCCCAGAGTAAAGTTTCAATAGAGAACAAATTATATACAGTATTCCAGAGAGGTAAATAAGATCCTAATACAATGAATTTTACTTTGAGTGTCTCACACTTATGCAATTTATAAATTATTAAGGTGAAGATAGCCCACTAACTCTATATTAAATAAATTACCCTAGTCAGCAATTATTTGAATAAATACATCAGCATTAAGTTTTGGCCCCCAGAACTTCAGTTATTAGAATTATAATATTCCTATCCAATTATTTATGTTACTGTGCCTGCATGCTCTTCATTAAAAAAAAAGCCTATCATTTTTCAGGCTTCCAAGTGAGCATTCAAAATGATGATGCTTTAAGCATTTGATTCATTAAAGTTGATGCAATTCATAAGGCATAATTTTTTCCAATGTGCAAAAATCTGAAAAACAACAGAAAGAAAGTACAGCATCCTAGTGTGAGGTCTGCAGAACGCTCAAAACATTTTCTATATACTAACAGCCTTGTTATTCATGAGAAATATTCTAATTCAAATGGGCAACATTTTAATATATATATTCCTCTGGACTAATAACTTTTCAATGTTCAGTATGTAATGTGGAAGAAAATTAATTAAGGCAAATCAAATTAATACAAAATGTTAAGAAATGTATTTTTATAAATTAAGTTACCTACACAAATGTTATACTTTTATTTTGCAACATTTATTCTGCCCTATTATAATTCATCTGAATTTTGCAAAATCAAGCCTTGGAAACTGTACTTATCTCACCACCTTCAAACTATTTAAGAGCTGTATTTTCTTCCATATATAAACTTACCGTATTTTCCGGCGTATAAGACGACTTTTTAACACATGAAAATCTTCTCAAAAGTCGGGGGTCGTCTTATACGCCGGGTGTAGTTCTCCTGTAACCAGGCAGACCAGCCCGAAAGGCTCTGACGAGCCTTAAATGGCTCTGGCGATCCCAGCTCTGGCGATCCCAGCTCTGACAATCCCAGCTGAGTTCCCTGCAACTCAGCTGGGATCGCCAGAAACCACGTAAAAGGGAAAAAGTTTTTTACCTTTTACTCTGACGATCCCAGCTCTGACGATCCCAGCTGAGTTCCCTGCAACTCAGCTGGGATCGCCAGAAACCATGTAAAAGGGAAAAAGTTTTTTCCCTTTTACTCTGAGGATCCCAGCTCTGATGATCCCAGCTGAGTTCCCTGCAACTCAGTTGGGATCGCCAGAAACCACGTAAAAGGGAAAAAGTTTTTTCCCTTTTACTCTGAGGATCCCAGCTCTGACGATCCCAGCTGAGTTCCCTGCAACTCAGCTGGGATGGCCAGAGCCATGTAAAAGGGAAAAAGTTTTCCCCCTCCAGCTTGCTTACCTCAGCTGCTAATCGCAACGCTTGCCTTGCTTTGCTTGGTTGAATCTATTCAGGCAAGCAAGCAACTCCCTGCCTGCAATCAAGCAAGGAGTTAGTTGTGGACTTCAACTCCCAGAATTCCTCAGCCAGCAAAGCAAAGCTGGCTGAGGAATTCTGGGAGTTGAAGTCTACAAGTCTTAAAGTTGCCAAGGTTGGAGACCCCTGTTCTATTGGGTAAGATTTTTCCCCTTTGGGAGCTTTAAAAAAAATAGTCAATTGGGGTTTTTTTAGTTGTTCTTTTTTAGACCTAGCCATTTAGGAAGCCTTTTAGGAAGTTTTAAATTTAGCTTTCATATAAAAATAAAAATAAAATAAAATAAAATAATATTTGTGCAGCTTTCTGAGATTTAGTGTGTTTCTGTAGTGTTTCACTCCAACTACACAAACACACAAAATCTCACAAAGCTGTATGTGGAATTTTGTGTGTGTAAAGTGTGAAAGTTGGTTTTTTGGACTTTTTGTGGCTGTGTGAGGTTCCTGCTTGTTGCAGGGGCCATTTTGGGTCTAGCACAGCTGCTTTTACATTGTAGGTGAGCCAGTTGATGTTTTTTAATTTTTATTTGGTGTGCATTGGAAGAGGGGCAGTCTTATATGGCAAGTATAGCCCAAACCCTATATTTTAACAGGAAAAGTTGGGGGTCGTCTTATATGCCCAGTCGTCTTATACGCCGGAAAATACGGTACTTTTAAAACTGTAAGGGCTAGAAATTGCTGGCCTGAGTTCCTCCAAAACATAAGCATATACACTATTCTGCCTATATTTTTCTGCACTCGTCCTGCAAAATTTCAGCATTTGCACTGTTCTTTTTGTTTTCTTGTTATATTTTTAGACTCATCTCTTTATTTTCTAAGAATCTAAATTTAGGCTCTCAGCTTTTCAAGAAATTTATTTTATCTTCTATACTTATGCCGACAGTAAACTTACCAAGCGTGCATGTGGATTTCTGTGGTAGTAAAGTTCTTTGTATGAATCCATCCATACTTCGGCAGCCCGAACAGAGTTAGCTAAAGCTTTTGCACGTGAATATGGAGCTTGCTTTGGAAAAACATGCCCTACGTGAGAACAAGGATGGATTTCAAGACTTCCTCCACATTGCCAGATCTAAGAACAAAATCAAAAAGCAGATCTGTTATATATGCACTCCTGTGCGTTCTTGTGGAATGCCTTCACCCATGTAGTAGCTGTTGAAGAAAGTTCTGTATCTCTATGGTCTGGAAAATTAATCCTGCTCCTACTTCATTTCATCAACTCAAGAGATACTTTGGAGACATCTTATACATTTGCATTTGAATACAGACAAAAGTATCATGTGTCAACACTCTCAACTAATTATTCCTTTATTTGAAAATTGATTTACCCATGCACTGTCCAGAATATACCATGAACAATGTTGATTGTGTTTCATGTTGCTATATCCTAAACTTGGATTTTTTTTCCTCATGGGTTTTGTACTTGTCATCTTTTAAATGAGATATGTAATACAGGTAGTCCTTAGGTTAAGACAGGAATTAGGACCAGGATTGCCATCACTAAGCAATGCAATCATAAAACATGATATTATGTGACCACATTGTGTAATAATGACAAACCTGGGAGTCCAGATTCCTGGTAAGTGAGAAGTGACACAGTACCAAGTAAGGAGTATGTGTGTGTGGGGGGGGGGGGGTTGCCACAGTGAGGTTGAAAAATGTCATGATGGGAGCCAGAGGAGGGAATGAAAGGCCTGGCACAGGCTGTACACGAATGCAGAATGTGACCTTCCCTGCCAGTTTCCACACTGATTTTATTTGTGGGAAGCTGGCAGGGAAAACATACCATGAGGCAGACACTGCAACTATTGTAAGCACAAGCCAGGTGTCAAGTGCCTGAATTGAAATTAAATGACTGTGGAGGCACAGTGATGGGTGAAATTTCAAAGACTGGTCATAAATACGGTACTTCTTGTTCAGCACAATTGCAACTCTGAATGGTCGTTGAATGAGTGGTTGGTTAGCAAGGATTATTTATATACATGTTGCTTTTAACACAATTAAAACTAGCCTTGAAAGGGAAATACAGGAGACACAAGCAAAATCATTAATAGATAGTCCTCACTTTAAGAACCACAACTGGGACCAACAACTGTGTCATTAAACTATGTGGTTGCTAAGTGAAGAATCACATGACTTCAGTGAACATGAATTCTGTTGGAGTTGTTAAGCAAGAAATCACATGACCATAACTATTGATTTTACTGTTGGCTTCTCCATTTATTTTTTCTTGAGGGAAGCTCAAGAAATGGCAGTGAAGCTCACAAATGGCAATCAAGGGATACTGCAACTATCATAAATGCATGCCAATTATGAAGCACCTGAATGGAGACTCCATGGCCATAGGGAAATTGTGACATTTGGAAGTTAAAGGACTGGTGGTAATAATTTCGCACTATTGTAATTTTGAACAGTCACTAAACACTAACTTTGTGGTCAGAATTGCACATATACATCAATAGATTATCATGAAGGACACTTCAGATAAAGGAGATAAGAGAAGTTACCAGGCATTTTATAGAATTAAATATTTATTAGCTAATGTTTGCATTGAATGCATTCAATTAGTTATTATCAAAAAGCATCCAATTAAACTTCCAACAGACTGAAGAATTACAACATGTATTAGTTTTTCTTTGAAACAAGATGTAATACAATTTTTTAAGCACTCCATGTTGCAAATTCCAGAAGAGAAAACATCCAGATAAGCATTTGCCTCAATATCTGAGGACTAAATTTGTGGATATCAAGGCTTAAGGTAGATGCAAGTAGAAACTGAAAGTTTGAAAAGACTTCCCTGCATAATGTAAGTTTTCAAGAAGCATGGAAGGTTGGCAGTACTGGTTTTTTGCATTTTCCCCCATAATTGTATCAGAAAAGAACCTCAAGTTCAAAACATTTAACTCTGGTATTCTGAGATCCTTTTCTGTTCTCTACCTTTAAGTCTGGGAATTAGAAAATATTTTGCCATAAACCTAAATTATTTATCTAGGTCAAGCTTGATCAATTTTCACACTACCTAAATGAGCTTCACTTATGATGAATTACAAACTCTTGTGTCTGGACGTTACATTATGTAAAAGGAAGTCTGCTATACAGTACTTCTATCCCATTAATTTTAAAGATGGATGATATGCATCTATCAGAGTTTGGCTGATCAGCAAATACTCAATAAAACATTTGGACTACTAAAATAAGATGTTATGGCTGCTTAATTCCAGGTAACAGAGGCAGAATAAATACTTGAATCAAACTTGAAATTCATCATAATAAGAAACTGTTTTATTAACCTACTAACTATATCACATATTATTTTCTTTGAAAATATTTCTTTCCAAGAAAAGAACAAAGTGAGACAACATGAAGGGGAATGGGTTCTAGGAAGATAGCAATAGCATTTAGCACTAGCACTTAGACTTATATATCACTTCATAGCCCTCTCTAAATGGTTTTACAGAGTCAGCATATTGCCCCCAACAATCTGGGTCCTCATTTTACCGACCTCGGAAGGATGGAAGGCTGAGTCAACCTTGAGCTTGGTGAGATTCGATCTGCCAAACTGCTGGCAGCCAGTGATCAGCAGAAGTAGCCTGCAGTACTGCATTCTAACCACTGCGCCTCAAGCTCCTGGCAAGACTCCCAAAATCATTACTTACCCGAAATGAAAATTCAAGGTTTTCCCCTCCCCAGACTTCCATTCCTGTGTCGTATGAGCCAAGATAGTTAAAATAATTCTTGTTCACAGCAAAGAGTCCACCAGCCATAGTTGGAGATCTAACAGAGGAAAACAACTCCAGAATTAATTGACAACCCAAATCTCCTTACCAAGTTAGTATCGCATGTGAATCCATGTGTAAATATCATCCTTAGCAGTATAATATGAAGAATATATCTGTTTAACAAAATTTAATTGCTCTGTGGCTCAGAATGAAATAACCAATGCTGTAGTCAAGTTTTACTCAGAAAACAGGAAGGAAGCCAAACAAGACAAACTGGTCAAAAATCATTGTGAAATCCCTTTGCAGAAAGATGGTCAGCAAATTAATTAATTAATTAAAGTAAGTAAGAAACACAATAATAGAATTGTTTAGCAAGCTTTGATTTATTTTTCAATTAGTAAATTTAAATTGTTTAATATTTGAAATCAATAAAGCAAAAGTGAAGAAACTATGACCTTCAAAATATTGTTGAACATCTCTCAGCATCCTGAGATATTATAAAGATTAAAAATCAATACAAACTACACAAAATACAAAAAAGATTTTTTTAAAAAAAATTGTGAGAAAAAGAAAAGAAAAGACAAAGAAAGAAGAAAGTAACTTCCTTCTTTATACTAACAAGTAAAAACAATTTTAGTAATTTAGCCCATCTCTAAATACCACATAATCTCTCTTTTTCCCCGAGCTCATTTACTAACTAAAAAAAAACCCAGAATCAAAATGCTTCATCAATTATTCCTAGTTGGCAAAAAAAATATAATTAATTTCTTTCTTTAGCCCTGGTTGAAAAAGCCAACCCTGTATTCCTTCCCTAGGTTTTTAAAAACATTCTGTAACTCCTTCAAAAAAAAGTTCTGGAGCTAGCTTGCTGTTCATCTGTTTCAAGCAAAAGTTTTTCAAGTCTTTAAAAATATATTCTCTAAGTCCAATGTGCAAAGTTTATCCTTTTGCTTATCACTTCTCATAAAGTCTTTCAAAACCTTATCAGAACTTTTTGCACATTCAATAAAAAAAATGTATACAAATTTCTGATTCAATATCTGTGTATCTCCTTTAGGAAATGAGTCATCGACCAGTTTCATTTGGGTTACATTTTAAGCCCTTCAAAATGGTTTCACAAACATCCAATAGCTTGTTCTTCTATAATTTCATTGCAACATGCTCTGTCCATTTTGTCAATAAGTTCATCCACTTTGTCATGAAGCTTAGTGAAAAAATGAAAAACTTGTAATAAAGATTTCAGCTCCATTTTTTTTACCCTTATCCTTTGACTCCTTCAAGTATCCAATGTTCTAAGCATCACCATATTCCCATGAGAAAATTTCTTAATTAATTCAAGGCTACAATTCCAAATCCCTTTGGCCCCTAAATCTGTTGTTAACTTTTCTAAAATCTATACACTAAGAACCCTTTTGCTTTATAGTCAAAAAGGTCATATATTTTCAAACCTTTTAAAATAAAATTCATATCATTATCCTCTAAGGAAGAGGAACTCACTGATAGATGGAGAAAAACCTTGCCATTTTGAAAGGACTTAATATTAGTATTTTTATAATATACAATAAAAATAATAATAATGAAAGAGTGCTTAAGAAATGGGATTTGGGCAAAACTAAAAAAAGCTGTCTGTAAGAAGCTGCTTTGTGAGTGTGAGTTTCATGAAACCCCAAATTCCAGCCATTCCATTCATAAACTGACCATAAACTGACAATATCCAGAATCTATTCACAAGGAGTTGTCCAGAAAGTCACATGGATACTCTTTACAGTCTCTCTTTCTGGAGAAGTTTCATTAATCCAGATCCAACATTCAGTCACAATTTCCTAGCAAAAGTTGTTCTGCTAATAAGCAGTGTGTCAGCTCACCATAGCTGCCATAGGAAGTCTCCACATACTGACTAGATTTTTGTGGGTGCAGTAGCTCAGTAACAATCAAAAGGGTACTGTTTACTAATTCCTGGAGTAAGGTACAAGGTATAAAATTACATCAGCCTGCCCCATTAGATCTGGAAGAGCAGGCATGTTGTAGCTACCATTCACTATTGGTGAGTACCAGGAAAAGTGAATATATTAAAATTCCAATATTCCTCCAAGCAAATTAGGAGAAAGTAAACATGGCATTTTCATGGGCAATTAATAAGCAGTAACATGATAGCAATGATTTGGCAGGCTTTGGTAAAAGTGCAACTAGAAATGCATATTTTAAATTACAAGTTAAATGAAGCAGACACGCATTAAAAAGAGAAAATGTACAGAAAACTGAAGAAGGAAGTGTCATACTATGTGAAGTATATGAATTAATTTATTATTTATTTATATTCCCATTCCCCTGAAAAAGTCTTTCTTAAAACTATTTTCTGTAAAAGAAAATGTTTCCTAGAGAATTTAAAGATTTTACACCTCACCAAAATGAGATTAGCCCACCCCACTCATGCCAGCAGAAGAGGTCTGCTACAAACTACATCTGCTAAAGAATTTTGGCAGTGGGGTCAAGAAGTCTTTTTCTCAGTGGTCCCAACTCTGTGGAACATTCTACCAGCAGAAGTGAGAACTGTTCTCACTGTTTTGGCCTTCTGGGGGAGTATTAAAACTTGCTTTTGTGGGTTGGCTTGGGGTCACAAGGAGGATGCTCACCGCTGGAGGTGGTTGGCGGGATGAGAAGACCTTATCCCTGTACCATTTTCTTGGTTCTGGTTTCTTGCATAATTTAAAATTTTAAATGTGTGTACTTTTAATTTTTTAAATTGCTTTTGTACTTATTATGTTCTGTAAGCAGCCCAAAGTTGCCCTATATGGTGGGCATATAAATTTAATAAATAAATAATGCAGCATTGGAAGACAATATGCTTTCAATTTCAACAACAGTTAAAGCCCTCTATCTTTTTCTTCAACATTTATTTTTGAAAATGAATTTTCAGCACTTACTGCAACCAAAACTAAATATCAAAATAGGCAGAAGTTGACTATTATGCTGACTCTGACTTTAACAAAAGTTACAATTGTTCATGAAATATATCATTATGAGCAAATTCAGACATCCCATTAAAATTTATAATTGATGTGTTAACTATTCAGCAAATATTCAGCAATTATCATTCCTATTATAAATTATAATCAGTGCATAATTTGTGTAATTTATTATAAGCCTCATAATTTATACCACGAGAGATAAAGTACTGTACTGTCAAGCAATAGACTGTTTTGTATATATATGGATTACTCATTCTTATTACCAACCACTAAAATAATAATTTGTTTTCATGATTGCACATAATGTTATAGGTTTTTTTTTATTTTATAGAAATTTATGGTATACATTTTTTATAAAGCTACAAAGTAATTTTTACAAAAGCTTTATGAAGTTAAATGGAATTGGAATGCTTCAATGTGCGTTAGTGGGGAACTTAACCTTACAATCTTCTAAGACTTATTAATCATACTAACCATACAAGGAAAAAAAACAAAAATAGTATTTTATGTACCTTTTAAAAAAAGACATGATGGGGATAAAAAAGTAGGAGAACTAATAAATCTGTTTTATTTTGATCTTTGCAAAAATTGAAAGCAGACTTGAACATCAGTCCCAGTGAGATCTTGAAATGCTATCAAGATTACAGAGATGTACAAATCATATGAAGAAAGTTAAAGCAATAATTATGTTCAAGTAGGATTTGGATGGAAAATCTGTTATGCTTTTGATGTTGCTGAACTACAACTCTCCACAGCCTTACAAAGCAGAGTCAGTGGTCAGGAATGAAGAAAGATGCATTACTTTCTGCTTCTATGGACTTCCTTATTTTTCGCTGAAGATATTTTGCTTCTCATCCAAGAAGCTTCTTCAGCTCTGACTGGATCACCAGTGAGAGCTGAAGAAGCTTCTTTGATGAGAAGTGAAACATCTTCAAAGAAAAACAAGGAAGTCCAGTTGCCTCTTGAAAAAGCATCTTTGGGACAACCATGACCTGGGATGACTGTGAATATCCATAGACAAATATTTGAAGCAGCTACATTATTCTAGCCACTATCTAAAAGCTGCTTTATTTAACATCCTTTGTGGCTAACACTTTCACTATCTTATTACTCCTTGCAACTTTCCTCAGTCTGAGATTTTCTTGTTTTGGGTAGAGGAACTATTAACCTGTTCCCTGCAAATGGCATAAGTTACATAATTTAAGAACCAAAATAAGTTAATAAATAATAAAAATAATACCACAGGCTTTTTGAAGTCTGCTGGCAACACCTTATTCACAGAGAGGGGCAGACACCCTCCTACTCTCTTGTTCTCTAAAGGAGCCAGGAAGAGCAGAGATACAAAGCACAAGGGCAGTGAGTCAGTCTCTCTGAGACTACCCCATCTCACAGGGTTATTGTTGCAGGGAAAATAGGAGGCAAGAACATTGTGTATGTTGCCTCGAAGTGTACATAAAACAAAGGCAAGATATAGATCTAATTTTTAAAAATGCTATAAAGTATTCTATCTACATCGATATCCACGACAAGAAAGGTGTCAAGTAGCATCTTATCAGACCCTGCCCATGAAGTCACTTTTTGGGTAAAATATTACATTGAATGGTTGCAGTGGCCAAAGAAAAAAATCACACAACTTAATTCTTCCAAAAAGGGAGCTTATCATTCTGAATGTCCATAGACAAGACAGCCTACTAATGGAATAAGGAAGAAGTAAAGCCACTTTTCCTGCCTTACTGCCATATCTAGGCGTGAATGCGGGTTGTGCCCTTATCCTGTCAAGTTTACTTTTCATCTTGTTCCCTCAACATCCCAGCATAACCATTTACTGCTTTTTTTCAGATCTGCACTGTGGATCTGTACTATAAACCAAGGGGCACACCCACACACATAATGTTTAAGAGAAATACAATGTTTAAAACTGTGTAGATAGAATCTATTTGAATTATGACATTGATAGAACCAAAAGAAAAAAGAAAAACCTGAGACAAAATTTGAATAAAATATTTAAAAGATACATTTTTGCTGCTGTTTAATTTTTACCAATGCTGTTTCCTATACTGTTAAATATTTTATTTACAATGATGTGGTTATATAGCATTATTCTTCAAAAATTATTAATGTTCCTCACCAGGTTGGAGCATGTGTGCAATTCAGCTGCAGAATATATTCCACAGAAACACCTTACCTCAAAAATAATATTTCTAGTCCCATAAAGTATTCTCTCTTCCCATTCCTTAAGCTATCCAAGGAAAGCATCTATTTAATTATTAATCGGCTTCTGAATAAGACTGGCAAAAATCCAGTCTTCCAAAGGCTGTAAATGTGCCAACAGTTTTAGATTAAGAAACATCCCACCTCTATTCCTTTAAAGTTATATTGTGCTTGAAAATTAACACTGCTTTTCTTTTCACTGAAACAAGGAGAGATTTTGGATAGGAAATGAAAAGTCATCTAAGACTAATCAATAAAATATAGCTCAAAAAATGACAATTTTGTCATTTCTAAGATTAAATTTCTACGTATTCCTGCTTAATTACAGAAGTGCATTTATTTTTAAGCTATACCATTGTGAGAGGTAAAATACCTTACAGAATTATCCATTTATTGTTTTACAAATAATTTCTGATTATAGAAATTTTTTTTAAAAAAATAGTGTCAAAGTCTTCTCTCAGTCAAGAGCTACATTATTGTTTTCTCTATTTTGGGAAACCTGAAAGTTCAGAAAATAATATGGAAGTGAAAGGGCAATCTTACAAGTGGAAGACGGGCTTCAGTTTTTGGCTTTTGTTTTGCTTATGTTTATAATGGTGTAATAGTAGGGGGAGACAGGAGACCTTGGGAGACAGGAACAACTGTAAAAGATATCTTAGTCTCTCAAAAACAGCCTGGGAAGTGTTTTAGAAGGAATCCTTTTTAGTTTTCTGGCAAATAAAAGGAAAATATAGAAGGAATACTTTCAAGTTTACAAGATTCTAATACTATAACCTTACAATAAAGATAGTATTAGTATTCATTGTTGTGCTTCTTGCTTGAGAGGGCTGATAGCAGTAGTGGGTTGCTACCGGTTCGCCCCGGATCAGGCAAACTGGTAGTGGCGGGAGGCTCCGCCCACCCGCCCAGATGTCTCTGGGCATGCGCAGAAGCTTCTGTGCATGTGCAGAAGTGTCGTGCATGCAAGTGCACGCGCACCGAGTGAACGTGCACACCCACAAGTGAACTGGTAGCAGATGAAATTGAAACCCACTACTAGCTGACAGGTAGGTTCTGGATGGAGTTCTATTTTTATTTATTTTATGAAATTTGAACAAAGAAACCATAATACTGTGAACTTCTGGGAGCTTGTAGGTGCCACAAAAATAAGGCTGGGGCCACATACAGTAGCCCATCTCTAATCTATAGGAAGTGAACCCTAATACATTTTGCTTTTGACTCATATATTTTACACCTAGAAGCCACACATTTTGAGTAACACTTTTACTTGTATTTAACTAGATCTATTAAACCAAACATAGCAGTTGTAGAAAATGATACCTTAGTTTTAAACTTAAAATTACATTTTACTGTCTATAATATATGCTTAATTCCTTTTCACATTATTGACCTATTTCATAAGTAAACTATATTTCTAAAGCATGAAAGAAAATAAATTATTTTCTATAAGTTGTATTGATGCTGCAAAAAAAAACCCTATATATTCAAATAAGGTGAACTAAAGCAGGGCAAAATTAAAAGAGCTTATCAGCAGTAAGCAATTATTAACAGAACAGTGTTCAGGCACAAAAATTGTGTACTGTTATTCATCATCCCAACAAGGAAATACCATTTTAAAAACTAATTTTACAAATTATTTTACAATGAGTTCTAATCTTCAGTTACTAATGTTTGATTAGAATAATTTGGTCGATTTTAACAACTTTTATTACTTAAATTCACAACAACTCTATATACATATGAAATTCCATGAATGACAATGTTTGGAGCAAGTCTACCATTCCAGAAATCTCTGAAAAAACCTGACAGAACATTTGTTAACTAACCTGCCACATAAACTGAAAAGTTAGGCTGTTTAATCATTAGTAGATCTGTTCATAGATAAGTGTCCCAATATATCTTTGCAAACCTCTGAAAACTATTTTTGTTCAATTTAATTCTAAACCTCAGGGGAAATACTGTTATGCAACAATACAAAAAGAGTAAAACGTAGCTGCTACCCCCAGGAATTGGCTTAAAAGAAAGGATTTTAACCAGTCATGTCAAGCAGTGATTTTTTCCAATAATTGATCTAAGTCTCATAAGTCTCTAATTGACTGAAGGGAGCATAGAGCTTTTACTCAATTCCATTGAATGCTGCATACATTCAATTACCAACTATACTGGGGTGAATAAACTGAAATTAAATAATAAAGTTTTACTGCTGATTAGTAGGAAACTGTGGATTGGAACTGGGATTCAGCTTGCTCTGCACAGTGACTTTACTTCCTTGGAAACAAAAAAAATTGAGAAGTAAATTTTTCCTGAGATTTAATCCCAATTCTGCAAAGCCTTGACAGGGTAGTAAGACAAAATTGGGAGAGAAAATACAATACAATCACATCAGTACACTTCCTTTATTTTTATAGCTCAGTTTTATTTTGGCTTCCATCCTCTGTCTCGCTCATTCTTTGTCTATCTGCTTGCAATAATAAGTATTCTTATTGTGCTGCATTTAATCAAATAAAAATCCTTTATTACTATAGTTTTGGTTTGTACTAGCAGCACACAAAGAACTGCTGGATGCCTGCAAAAAACTCTTATCCAGGGATCCCAGAAACAGGGAAGAGGGATGATAGGATAAATATTGTAGGAAGAGATTCCCAGACCTGAGTTACCATTGTGATAGATAACTTCCTTCTTACATGTAGCTTAACCATTTTTAGCATAAAGACAAAAGTAGGCCATAGGACAAATAGATTTATACTGTATACTGTTTTGTCAATTCTTATTTCCACATAATAAGTGACACAGAAGCACATTTTTCTACTCAGTGATTTTGACAAACATCCTTTCTTCAAAACAGACTACATGCTATTGACTACCTTTCTAGCCACATAATATATTACGTATCTTAATATTTCTCCATTCATATCCCCATTTTTAGTAAGCATTCTACCTAGGATTACAAATTCACCTTCTTGCTTTTTGTCAAGGCATATATAGTTGCATCAGATCAAGGAACCAACAACTCTACAGGTAAGGTAAGTCACTTTAAATGCTACCCTGTTTCCCCCAAAATAAGACATCCCTTGGTAATAAGCCCAATCGGGCTTTTGAGCGCATGGCAATAAGGCCAAGTGCTTAATTCAGGGTTCAAAAAATATATAAGATAGGGTCTTATTTTCGGGGAAACACGGTAGTATTGTGAGAAAATAAAGAATCTTAAAAACTGAAAGAGGAATTTCCAACTCTCATTTATTGGTGAATTCATTAAGGCAGAGTCTCTTGGAACATTTTGAATTGTTTCTTTTCAGATTTCTCCAAGTTTGCTGAGAACCCACTTTAGCTGATAAATACTTTACAACGTTGAATGCAAATACCAATTGTCACAAGAAACATAGTCTTGGGATGAAAGTATCCTAAAGAGTTTTGCAATCACCTGGAAACACAACATCAAAGGACTGAAAATCTTTAGCCAATAGACTGGCTTCTCCAAAATCTAAGCTTTTATGGGCATTGGTATCTTGATAGACTCTGGCATGAACGCAATAGGTGTGTCAGAGGTGAATTATACTCCTGAGTCAGAAGACTGAACATTTCATCAGCTGAGAACACTGAATAGAACAGAACAGGAGCTGAGGGACTTAAGAGCAGGAACAGAACAGATCAGACTTGAAAGAAAGAAATGCAGAAACTGAAAGATCAAGTCCTGAGGGAAAAGTTGCTGAAGTCACTCTTAGCATCAGGAGACCAGTGGAAAGCAATGTGATTAGAATCCAAATGCTCTCACCAAAGCAAGATGAGGCAGAGAACTATACAATAAAAATGAGGCAGGGAAAGGAATCTTTGTAAATTTGTTTCTAATGAGAAAGCGTTCTGATCTACAAAGTGTTCAGCATGGGTTCTATATTTGTATCAAATGGGAAGAGGAATAAGAATGTAAAGGAAAGGATTTTTGTAGGAAATTCCAAAAAAAGTGAGGCAGAGAAAACCAGCCAGTAGAACCAGATATAGTAAGAAAATTAATTGCCTCATTAATAATTACAGATTTTTTCTCTTTTAAGTAATAGTTAAAAAGCTGTATTATTCTGGTTTGTCGCACAGTCAGATGTTTAAACTGGATTTTTAACCACCTATCAAGTTCTTTCCAAGGACTTGGGATAGGCAAATGTTGTTGTTTGATGGTATTAAAAGTATTGTCGCAAGATGTAATTTTCCAAGTAAAGCTGCCTTTTGCAATTGACTTTTGTAATTTTATCAATGCCAATGGTCTTCAAGTGGCACTCCAGATGTTTGGAGATTGCACCTGAAGTGCCTATTACTACTAGTATTAATAGCAGTACTTCAGCAACTAAACCAAATTGTACAAAAAATAAAATGCAGTGGAGGACAGATTATAAATCTTATTTTTAAAATAAAATTGCCAGTATAATAATCTAGCATGACAGTATTGTATTTGATCATTATTCATCCCAACAGGTTTATCAAAATATAATTTCAGATGGAACTCAAAATCAATCTAACCTGATAACATCAGTCTTGGATCTTCGATGTTCCTGCTCCCGCTCTGGTACCACGTGCCAAGTAAAGACCAGTCTCCAGTCAAACCCACCAATCTGCGGCTCTCCAGCATTTCCCAAGAATTCAAAGGTGTTCCAGTCAATTACATCAATCACAGGACAGACGACAGCTGATGGTTCTTCTTTAATTCTATGCATGTTTACAAAGAAATATTGTTTGTATCCTGATGATAGAAACTAAACTTGTTGAATAGATTGTAGAAGACCATTAGAATACTTTTCAGTTTTCCAAACTTTTACAGACATTTTACAATATTTTCCTAATAATTAAATAAGTATCTAACCAATTTCTATCTTCAAAGTAACTAGTATAAAGATGTTTATGTCTGAAATGTGCATTTGGACTGCATTCTCAAAATTTCCACCCAGCATAGTTTGAAACAGATTTGGAGGACTTGAGGTTGGGAACAAGAAAGGTTAATGCTTTGTATATTTTATTTTTATGTATCATGTGCATTTTCTGCAGATACATTTTCTGGCCCCCACTTTTGACAGTCTTTCGGAAGGCCCTAAATACTTGCTTTTGCCATCGGGCCTGAGGAACCCAGAGTGCGAGGGAGTCCATCAATGACTTGTTTAATCAAGAGGATGGGTCATTGGGCTTTTTGGGTTTTTTTAAAAAAAAATTCCTATATTATATTTCTATTGATTATAAGCTGCCTAGAGTCATCGTGAGCGAGTAGACAGCTGTATAAATTTTATATATAAATAAATAAATAATTTTTAAAAATTCTCAACATTTCCAAGTATGTTTTCTAAGCAATCAAAGATGTTGGGGGAAAACCCACCACTCTCCATGGCATAAGAATCCTTACATGTTTATTGTGCCCCACCATTGGGTTGCTCAGATAAGGTGCAAAGGTTTTTAAATCAGCTGAGCATATGGAGCCTCACAGCCTGCAGGAAAAACTAAGGAAAGAGATAAAAAATGTTTACCTTTATACCTTCACATGCAATGATATTAATAAATGTGAAGGATCACTAAATATTACTTTCCATACACTATTATACTGAATTTCACTTCAGTGCTGTTGCAAGAGTCAAACAAGCATACTTGTGCATATTTTCTTTTAGTCAAGATTCAATAAACCTCTCCTTTTATTTGTCTGCTTATATCATCAGATCAGTCGAAAACTTTCAACTATCTCCTCTCTCTAAACTCTTTTACTTTACAGTTTACCCAAGGCATCTTGCTACATAATCTGAGAGACTGGTTCTACTATAATTTATTACAATTATGTATGTGTAACTAATACATTCCAGCAATAAGTTTGCATAATTAATGAACTGTTAAATGGCTTAAACAAAGGACAGAAACCATCAGCAAATGTACGAAATGCCTGCAGGAAAGCAACAAGCAGAATAATATTTCTCACTGACTGTTGCCTCTCTTCATCAGAATAATCAAGATAAATTTTAAAAATGAAATTTCTTATTGTCAACCAACATCCACAGGTTTCATTTGGAAGATAAAACTTTTATGTTATGGATTATGGTAATTTACTTTGTAGTAAATGAACTAATTAATAATTTACAAAAGCAAATAGAAACAAAAGTGGAAGGAAATACATTATTCAGCTTTTGTCACTATACATTTATTATGATATTGATAATAAATCTTCAAGAAAAGAAGAAAGAGATAAAAGTTTGAAGCAGATAAAACGAAGCCAAGCTGAAGTATAATAGAACTTTCATCAATCCTAGCATTCACAAGCACGAAGAGACTCATGTTACTCACTCTCCAGTCCAAGCAACTTCAAGAGTTCAGTGGCCACTCCTTCTGACGGTGCCTGTCAGTGAAATGGCCATGCTCCCAGCAAGCTGCAGACTAACTGCCAAACAACCACAGATAAAAGATGAAGGACACAAAGCAGGAAAAAGAAGTTGAAGTCAGAGATGGTGAAGAAAGAAGACCAAGAGAACTTGTATTTGATTAAAATTATTCAAACAGTTATACTGGATTAAAATGATGTAACTAGAATACAAAAATCTGGAGCAGAATCTATGTAAGGACATATTGGTTATCTTTTTATTTATTTATTTTCTAATTTCTACCTAGAGAACTGAAAGCAGCAAGCACAATTATTTCTAACGTCAAGGTCATGTTATATATCAAGGAATCATTTGCTTCTTGATCATTTTATTTTATACAAAGTGAACACTATCGTACAACCTCCTTCCAGCTCTTCATTTCTAATCCCAGCACATTTTGTACAAGAAGTCCATTAAAACAATAAATCAATAAATCCTGTCATTCTTAATCCCTCCTCAAACTTGCAGTCAATTCATTTAAATGAAGTTTGCATTGAAGGAGCAACAACAACCAAAAACAGCATTTGGGCCAAACAGATAGTTGCATGACACAAATCACCATGTAGCACTATGAAATTGGCCTGCCAGTACTCTACAGCCCACAAAATATCCAGCCATGATATTACATCTACTCTTCATCTTATACTCTTGCAAAGAGAACATTAGGGTTGCACAATGCAGGAGCCCTATTCAAGGCCTTTCTAGCATTCTGAAACATCACATCTCAGGAACATGGTTATGGCAAGGACAAATCAAGTCTTCAAAAAATTGTTACTTCAAATATCTGGATGTCCTTGAAACACAGTCTTCCAGGATTTGCTTGCACCTCATGTTTCTTATCAGGAGAAGCAAGAGTTCAATAACATCAGTCTACCGCTTCAAGACCACTGTAGTTATTTCTCATGGGCAGTTATAGGATATTAGAGGGCAGAGTTTTGGGTAAAGTATCTGGGCACACAGGAAGTCCTCAATTATGACTCATTGCTTAATGTTTGAAGTTATAACGGACCCAATAAAGGTGCAGTTATTATTGATTGATTGATTGATTGATTGATTGATTGATTGATTGGTTTGATTTATATGCTGCCCTTCTCCGGAGACTCAGGGCAGCTTACAATGTGTTAAGCAATAGCCTTCATACTTTTGTATATACCTGCTTAGTAGGGCTTTCGCCACCCCCCCCCCCAAGCGGTGTTCTTTTTTTATACAAAGTCAGCTTATTGCCCCCACAATCCGGGTCCTCATTTTACCTACCTCGGAAGGATGGAAGGCTGAGTCAACCTTGAGCCTGGTGAGATTTGAGGTAGTCCTTGAAGTTACAACCAGCTGTTAAGTGAACGCGCAGTCATACAAAGACCACTGCAGTTGTTAAGTGAACTAATGGTTCACTACAGAACAGTTTTGCCAAAAACTAGAAGTAAATGCCTGTTTTCAGGACAACTGTTGTAATGCAGTTACGTGACCATGGGACTCTACAAACAACCATAAATGTGGACTGGCTGCTGAATGCCTGAAGTGGCCTGGGTTTACAGGCATTTGCAGCATTCAGTGGTCCCATGATTGCAAGTTAGAATGGATTTTGTCAGAAATCAGCATTTACTTCCAATTTACAGCAAAAATGCCCATTGTGGACTATGGGTTCACTTAACAACCACAATGTTTACTTAACAATCGCACCATTTGCTTAGCAACTACCACCAAAAAAGTCATAAAATCAGGTGTGATCATGTGATGGCTTACTTAACGACCATCACAACTTACAAATGTAATTTTGGGCTCAAAATCAAGGATTTCAATCCAGTGCTTCAATTTCAATTTCAGTACATAGTGATGCAATAATTTATTGCTTTTAGGAAATGGATATTATTATTATAGTTTAACAATTTACTATTAAACACAAATATATGGAAGCTGTAGATTTAGAAACCATAACTAGTAATATATGAATTATTCCTGTTGGTAGTGGAGTATAAAGAACATAATTTTTAACCTAAATCTTACCCTATACTGCCATCTTGTGGAATATTCACACCATTAAGAATAAGAGTTATATCTTTGGTTACTTCAAAAAAGTTTCAAATATAAATGTGATAAAAGAAGCCTCTACTGTACTGCTGTTCACTGTGATTCGAACAGACAAGTTAAATAATTAAATAAAAGTGAAGTATAAGTTAATATATTTTCTTCAAAATATTACATTTAAGTATTACAGTAATATTTAAGACTAAATATCACTCAAATAAGCATTAAACCAAAATTATATCATTTGTAATAGTTTACGTCATTTATGATGTCATTAAACACATTATGCAAACTGACACAAATAACTTAAATATAACTTCGCGTACAATTATGTGCTTTACTTGGGAAACTTTGAATGTAATAACTTCTCTGTTATTATTAAATCTATTTGGATACAAATATTATTTTGTTCAGGTTTGCTAAATGGGGAAATATTAAATCAGAAGCTTACAATATCAATTATTTGTGTGATTTTATAGTATTTAGAAATCCACTCAAATATTCTACCTGCCTTCTTTTTGAAAATCTCCATTTTTATCGCCACATGCTAAATCTTTGTTTTACTTTTTTGCTTTTGGGTCATTGAAAAGCATCGCTATTTCATGTTTTTACAATCATGCTGTGACAATATGTGGGAAACCCTGCAAATGTTTTATTTATTTATTTATTTATTTATATATATATATATATATATATATATATATATATATATATATATATCATTTGCAGGGTTAATCATATATATATATGATTAATTATACATTATTTTAGTAATTATCATCACATATCACATAATGCATTTATTGTCCTTCTCTCCTAAATCCCTTTCTCCCATGACTACTAATCTCACCCTGTCACGTAATGCAAGCCTCCCTCCCTTTCTCAATACCAGTAACATATTTTGAAAACAGTAGCATATATCTGGAGAAGGTACAAATCACATAAAAATGTATAATCCTATAGCTACTCACTAAAATTATAATAGAGCAAACCAAGATATACCTCTTTAATTTACACTGTCATAATGATTTCAGTAGATTGATTACACCTGAAATACTCCATTGTCATTTATTTATGTGATAAATACAGATTTATTTAATATTTTGAATCTTTATTTTGGTGCCCATCATATTTTTCGTCACCATACATTTATTATTCTCATATAAATATTTTTAAACTAGTATCATTTATTATAAAAAAGTCTAATGAAAATAAACATCAAGTTCCTTGCACTCTTAACAATATATTCTACATTTCAGAGATAATTAAGAAAACTAAAATATAAGGCATTCACTTAGCTGTCACAGTCTAAAAAAACCAACACAAATTATCAAATACTTCTAATTTTGGAATATGACATTTATTTACCTTTCTAATAATGGTTCAAGCCACTCTTCATGGCATTCACAATGGCAATCGAGAAATGTAAGAACATCTCCTCTCGCTACTGAAGCTCCCAGAAGCCTTGCTCGAACCAGCCCTTCTCTTTTATTTGCTCTGATAAGCCGTACCTTGCGCAAATTTGCCAGATAGTTTTCCAAAGTCTCCTTTAAATGTTCTATTGCAAAGAAGTAAGAACTGTTAACTGTTAAATCTAAGGAACTTGTAGTAAATGGGCCACAAGCATACCTTTTTTTTTTTACATTTAGTTGCATCTGAGCAGAGAGACAGGCAAACAGTTTCTGACAGGAATTCAACTGAAAAAACTTGCCTTGAATGTTCACTTACAGTGGTAGATTCAAAACATGGTGTCCTTGAATCACCAAGCCCTCAGAATGGTTTTCTCACGTGTTCTGAGTCTCAAAGAAAATTTTCATGTTCTAAAGCATTTTGAAGTTGGAATTTACTCTATAATGGTCAAAATAACTAGACCATTCAATGTATTTTGGCTGTGATTGGCCTATTCTTTATGACAGCCATTTCCATCATTATCAACCACCAATTTAAGATATGAGTGGTAAGTAATATAAGAAACCAAGTGTCACACAAACTTTTAGAAAGCTTAGCTCTCTCTCAACCAATTTATACACATTTTCACTTGCGTTCTCTGCATATCAGATCTCTGAAAAGTACTATTCTGAAATCTAGCAAATTACTTTCAGGTATCCATCAGTATAGTATTTCCTTCTTTTTAATAATTATATAGTTTTATAAATGCATTTTCCAACAGACATATACCAAGAATGAACAATTTACCACATGCAAAAAAATAAAATAAAATACACAAGTAAAGTCATATAAAGAGCCAGTTTGGTGTAGTGGTTAAGGTAGCAAGTGAGAGACTGAAAGTTCTAGTTCTGGCCTAGGCACAAAGCCAGGTTGGGCCAATCACACATTCTCAGCCCCAGGAAACAGGCAATTGCAAACCACTTCTTAAAATCTGCAGGAACTTGTCCCAGCAGTCATCAAAAGTCAAAAATGTACTTGAAGGCACCAAAACAAACAAACAAACAAACAAACCATGCACATATAAATATATTTTAAAAAGCTGTAATTGCAACTATATCCCAAATTCACCTAATTTTCTAAGCCTTTAAAAGTGGAAAGTAAGCTTTCAATATTGACCAAACCAGTCCATGATCCCCCCTCCCCCCCCCCCCCAAATAATGTGACATTTCTGACTAAGAGTATACAATTGGATTTCAGAGATATGTGATTTAGGATTTTTGGAGTGTAATATTTATTTCTTATGAATTCCCAGTGCTGCAACATAATTTTAACCTGGTATTCATATAATATATCATACTATTTATGATGATAAAGCTGTTGTTCTTATTATCAGACAGATTTTTTAAATTTAATGAGTTAGCTAAATTGGTTTATGCTGTTGAAGAAGTATAGAAAACTATTTTGGCTTTCTGTTCAATTTATTTATTCTTATTTTAATAATATATTGTACAATAAAATAATGTCTTTCCTACTAATGCTAATGCTGTTAGATTTTTTTTTCTTTCAATGGAAATCCTATGCCAGCATAGGGTCTGCTGAGCTTACCTTTATCACTATAATCATCTACAAGGATAATTTCTTCTAGAAGAATATCAGGAGATGTCTCAAGAACACTATGAACTGTTCTCAGAAGCGTTGACCAGGCTTCGTTATAAAAAGCTATTATAACAGAAGTCTTTGGCAAGTTGTAATAATTATATTTTTTCTCTTTACATCTGTAAGAAAAGCACATTATATTACAATAATTTAAAATCAGGCAATTGATCAGCAATTAATACAGCTCTGAAACATACATGCAAAAAATGCATTGTGTGTAGAAGTTGGTTCACTAACTAAAAAGTTCATTTTATATACATATTTATCCATGTGGAAACAAATATAAACTCCTTAAAGAGTACAGTACTTGTGCACCGTACGGGTGATATGTGTTTTCTGCAATTTCAGGTCTTCTGTCAGAAACCCACCATATTAGAAGCAAGCCCTATCTTCCTCACTAAAATATTCCTGATATTATAAAATTATACTAGATTATCTTAAAGTATAAGAATTATACCTATTTATAGCTAAACAGACTCAGAAGTTGCATTCCAGTTTTACAACAGAATAATACACGATTTCTATATGAACATGCTCCATATATTAGCAGTGTACTGTATACTCACAGGAAGAAAAGTGATGTGGCTAATTAGTTTTCTACAAGCAATCTTAAATCCTGCTATTAGAAAGTTTTGAAAAGAAGCAGTCAGATATGATAAATTATTACCAGTGTTTCTATGTATGATGTAGGATATTTTCTTTGAAACATTGACAGTGCAAAACTGCAAAAACAATTAGCAGTACTGGATGTCGAAACAACTCATTCAGACTTCATCTATTTAGGCTGATACACTTTAAATGTCCAACTAGAAAGCCCTATCAAAAGCCACTACAAAAGCTGGATGAAATCAGTCAAGAATAAGAACATGATTCTAAGCACATTTATCCAACAGTCAATCTCACGGGTTCATTAACATGTTATTGTTTTGTGTAAATTTAAAACTACAACCTAAGAACTATTTCAATGCAATTGAGCTATGGAGTTTGCATAGGTTTAGAAACATTTAAAATGTCCTAGGTACTTCTCACATCTTTAGACTTTAAATGTTAGGAACATATTCTTTCCTAAAAATGAATAAAGATGGAACTTCTGGAGATGAGGATTCTCAAAATTCCAAAAAGGTTAGACCTTGACAGAAAACTGGAAAACAAAATGAATGTAAAGATGACACTCCTTTGGAAAATGGAAAACTCTTCCCTAAATTCTAGTATTATGTGCCAAGGGTTATTATGGTTCACCTAGTTTGGCTCAGTCTTTTGTATGAATGTAATAGTTATAGCATGCAAAACTATAAAAATTAACATTGGCTGAATTTTAGTTCACCCTCGAGAATGTATATCTCATGTTTTTATATTACGAATCTGAATGTAGGAAGTGACAGGTCAATGGTTTTCAAAGACTTTTTAGTAAAAAGGTGTTTTTTAAAAATAAACTTTTTATAAATCAAAGCAATTGTGGGAATCAAGGAATTATGGAAAATAGGATGATCAAATACTCTAAAAAGGAACAGGCAGGATTGAGAAGGTAACCAAAGTCAAAGTAACTTTGACAATCCTGTCTGGATTTCATTTTCTTCACACAATAGTCTAGACTATCATGTGAGTGGTTGCAAATATGTTGAGCACAGATAGTCCTCGATTTATAACAGTTCATTTAGTGACCATTTTAAATTACGTAACTGAAAAAAGTGATTTTAACTGTTTTTCACACTTACCACCATTGTAGCATTCCCCATGGTCACATGATCAAAACTAAAACGCTTGACAACTGACTCATATTTATGATGTTTGCAAGGTCAACATCCTGGGGTCATATAATCCTCTTTGCGACCTTCTGACAAGCAAAATCAATGGGGAAGCCTATACTAATTTAACAACTGCAGTGATTCACTTAACAACTGTGACCAAAAAGGTTATAGAATGAGGCAAAACTCACTTAACTGTCTTGCTTACCAACAGAAATTTTGGGCTCAGTTTCTGGTCATAAAACGAGGACTACCTGTATAGCTAATTCAGCTCATTTCTAATTTAAATTTGGGATTAACATGTTGCATGGATGCATCTTTAATGTTGGTTTAACCTGCAGCGCGAACCCAGTCAAATATCCCCGAGAGGGTGAGATCTACTTTGCAATTCTTGGCTTAACCTCGCGGGGTTGCATTTGAGCGCGCGCTTCAGTTCAGTACATTTGCAAATACAATCGCGACCTCCGAAGACTCGTCTTAGAAAAGCCACGAGAGACTCCTCCGGGACCGCTAAAGGAAGTTCCACGAGCTTACTTCTGGGGCAATGCCGTACAACAAGATCACGGTAAAGGGACACCGCCCCTCTCCTTTGGGCCTCCCTCCCCTCCAACTAACTACGCCGGATCTCGCGGAGGGAAGCGCCCTCCCTCTCGCTCTCCCCGGGATCCTGTCGGCGGCACCTCCTCCGGGTTCCCTCTGCACTCACAGCGGGTTGCGGCGCTCGGGCAGGCGGCGGTGAAGAGAGATGCGGTCGCTCAGGAAGATGTTGATCTGGTGCAGCTGGATGCTCTCCTCCTGAAGGTCTTGCTCGGCCTTGGTTAACTCCAAGCGCGCCGGCCGGCCCATCTCGCCCACCTCGGTCTCTCTGCCCAACGGCGGCTTGTCGTAGACGGGTCTGCGCAATCGTCGCTGGGCTACTTCGGGCGCCAAGGAAGGGGGCGCCGCTCTCCCAGAGCTCTTAGGCGGGTCCTGCGGACCCCAGTGCCAAAGCAACAACACGCCCGCTATGCCAAGCCCCGAGAAGAGCGCCACCACCAGCGACCATCCTCCTCGGCCGGCCCGGACTCGCCGGCTCCGCCGCATCCCAACTCGGGCAGAAACTTCCTCTCCCAGGCCCTTTGGGTGCTGCCCGCAAGACAAAACCGTCCGGACAGGCGGGGGCGTACCGAAGCAGCAATAAAAGTTAGGCAGAGAAGGACCGCCCAGCCGCGGCTGCCTTACCCGGACTAATCGCGGAAGCGACTGCTGGCCTGCTCGCCTCCGGATTCTTGGCTTACAACGTGGCGGGGCAGGGCAGGCATAGAAGCCGTAGCAACAGCGCGGCCTACCTGGGTCCCCTCTCTCCCTTCTCCAGCCGAGAAAAGTCGCCAGAGAGGAGAGCGGGGGAGAAAAGAAACCTGAATTTTCCTCTGAACTTCAGATTTACCTTCTGGTGAACTTCACCTCCGTTGATAGAAGAGGGTTGTGGCTGAATCATTTGGAGGAGGAAAACCATTTTCCGGAGTGGGTCAATCCGAGAAAGGTGGTAGCAACCTCCTCCCACTCCTACGGTCGAATTGGGTGGGAGAGGGATTTTTATGGCTGATAAAAACAGCTTCTCATGATTTGACTCCTTTCATCTGTCCTAATGCACCTTTCCAGTAGCACCTGTCTGCAGTCCATGACTGGGTTCACACATTGTTTTTTGTTGTTAGTATTTATCTAATGACTGAAAAGCACAAAAATGATGAATCTTAAGTATTGCTTCCTATATCATTTATCTCAAAGTGATATACAAAATACATATAGCAATAAAGTTGGGGAAGAGGAAAGGAAAGTAGAAGCAACAACAAAATCCAGAAAACGCTATAATGAAGAATGAGATTTTTAACAAACATATAAAAGATGTAACAGAGCAGGCCTTATGAATCATTCCTAAATTGTAGTTTGAATAACTTAAGTACTGACAGCAGGTTGACTCATTTCTTGCAACATACTGTAACCCAAAGTTTACAAAACACAATTCCCTTCATTCATACCAGTCTTATGTATATTCCCTATACTGTATTTTTATGCTGCTACATTTATAGTCACAATTCTGATTTCTATTAGAACATGCTACGAAAACATCCTACTTTGCTGCTTATATCTCCTCATCCACTGTTAGTATCCCAGACTGAGGGAGAAGAAAAAAATTAAATACAAAAACTTTTGTACTTTTTGAGGAACTCGAAGGACTAGATAAGATAAGCTTCATGAAAAATGGAGTCATGAATGGAAAATGGAGTCATGAATGGAAAAAGAACCAAACTTGTGCTTTAAAGACAAAAATAAACAGAAATCATCCTTGCAATTCAAAGAATGAGAGAAGAAACAGAAATCTTCAAAGAAACCACAAATCTTTTACATTTTTTTCAAATTGAAACAATATTAAAACCCTTATTATTTACAAATGTAGGTACAATCCCTGCCGAGCATGAGCTAATTTTGCAATCTGCAAGAGTAAATAGGAGTTTGTAGAAATTGAGAAGGGCCTGCATGTACAGATTTAAATGTACTTGTTTTTGCATATTTTACTGCATAAATATATTAGCTTAATCTAGCAATGGTAGTAATATTTGATATGGTGCAGAAAATAAATTTTATTGCATTGCAAATATTGCAAATTGGCTGAATTAAATTTTTTAAGGAAACAATCAGTCTTATTTGAAGCAAACCACTGAGCAGGAATGAAACCTTTCCTTTAATCTAAAAAAATATACAAAGAAAGATGAGCAGTTATAAAAGGAAACAGAAAGCACTATGGAGTTACTAAAATGGAAAAGCAATGACTCAAAAGGATTGACAGTCTTCCAGGTCAGATCCTGGAAAATATCAAGCAAGGTCCTTTCCAACTCTGTTAATCTGTTTTTAAAAAAAAAATGATACTAAGCAATATTAAAGCTGTGAAAAAATAGATTTTCACAAAGCCAATATTAACAGCAGACAAATACTTGTAAAACAGAAAGCTTTAGAGAAAGTGGTGTTGTTTTTCTTAATTTGATTTATATGCCGCCCTTCTCCAGAGACTCAGGGTGGCTTACAATGCGTTAAGCAATAGCTTTCTTTCTTTCTTTTTTTATTTACACTTTATTGATTTTTTTTTTTAAGACAGATAAAATATAATAACAGTTTTGTTTGACATCAGATCAAAGATGTTCCCCAATGTGCACCCAAATTGTTGGAAATGCGGTCATGGTCAGGGCACCTTCTTTCACATGTGGTGGACATGCCCCGAAGCAAAAAGATACTGGAGCAAAATTCGGAGATGGTTGAAAGACATACTCAAAGAAGAAATTGATTTGAATCCAGAAATATTTCTCCTGGGAATGGTAAAGAAAGGGCATGGAAAGGAAAAGGTCCACCTCCTAATACACATAGCTACAGCTGCCAGACTGGCATACGCTCAATACTGGAAAAAGAAAGACCTACCACCAGACGACCTTATAATTAGCAAAATATTAGAGTGTGCAGAGATAAGTAAATTAACGCACGAGATAAGTGATGACGAAAATTCAGATTATGATACTGTGTGGGGAAGATGGTACTAATGGATAAATGATAGAATCAAGGAAGGAGTTAAAGGTGCAGAAATTAATTAGAAATGTATAGTATAAATGACACCAGATATTTTTTCATGTATATATGTACAAACACTGCGAATCCGATGTCAAACAAAACAGTTATTATATTTTATCTGTCTTAAAAAAAATAAATCAATAAAGTGTAAATAAAAAAAAAAGCTTTCATACTTTTGTATATTTATACAAAGTCAGCTTATTGCCCCCACAAACTGGGTCCTCAATTTACCCACCTTAGAAAGGATGGAAGGCTGAGTCGACCTTGAGCCTGGTGAGAATTGAACTCGCAGTAATTGCAGGCAGCTGGATGTTAAATGCTGCCTTAGGAGGCATTAGCCTCCTACGCCACTCAGGCTCCTAATGTTACCCCCTTAATCAAAGACAACTACATTAATTATGAAAATTTTCCTTTATTATTAAGCCAGTTTAAATAAAAATATGATTACCTTCATTTATCATCTATTTGACAGCCTAAAATTCTTATAAGATCAGAGACACTCATCCTGAGGTCTTGTCTGCACAGCTGCCTTAAGATTTATTTATTTATTTATTTATTTATTTATTTATTTATTTATTTATTTATTTATTTATTTATTTATTTATTTATTTATTATTCGAATTTCTATACCGCCCTTCTCCTTTCGGACTTAGGGCGGTGAACAGCCAAAATAAAAACATTTATACATAAGTACGATTAAAAATAGATTTAAAATAATTAAATTTGGCCCATAGTTTAAAATTTATCAATTTAAAATCCATATCAAAATTTAAAACCAACCATAAAATCAAGAGAGACCAGCTAACTGAAAGATGAGTTTTTAGGGCCCGACGAAAAGTCCGGAGGTCAGAGATCACTCGTATCTCTGGGGGTAGATTTTTCCAAAGGGTAGGTGCCACCACAGAGAAAGCTCTCCTCCTGGGGGTCGCCAGCTGGCATTGTCTAGCCGACGGCACCCTGAGGAGGCCCTCTCTGTGGGAGCGAACTGGCCGGTGGGAGGCTATTTGTGGCAGAAGGCGGTCCCGTAAGTACCCTGGCCCTAAGCCATGGAGCGCTTTAAAGGTGATCACCAACACCTTGAAGCGCACCCAGAAGTCCACCGGAAGCCAATGCAACTCTCACAGGAGAGGAGTCACATGGGAGCGCCCAGTCGCTCCCATTATCCCCCGCGCGGCCGCATTCTGCACCAGTTGGAGCCTCCGGGTGTACCCCAAGGGGAGCCCCATGTAGAGAGCGTTACAATAGTCCAGACGAGAGGTGACGACTGCTTGAGTGACTGCGTAGGGAGTCCCGATCCAGAAAGGGGTGCAAATGGCGTATCAGGCGAACCTGATAAAAAGCCCCCCTGGCCACGGCCGTCATATGCCCTTCTAAAGACAGCCGTGCGTCCAGGAGGACGCCCAAGTTGCGGGCCCTTTCCGTGGGGGCCAATGCTTCGCCCCCAATAGTCAGCGATGGCACCAGCTGACTATATCGGGACGTCGGAAACCACAGCCACTCGGTCTTGGAAGGGTTGAGTCGAAGCCTGTTTCTCCCCATCCAGACCCGCACGGCCTCCAGGCACTGGGACATCACTTCCAAGGCATCGTTGGGATGGTCTGGGGTGGAGATGTACAGCTGAGTATCATCAGCGTACTGATGGAACTCCACCCCAAAACCACGGATGATCTCACCCAGCGGCTTCACATAAATGTTGAACAGGAGGGGCGAGAGGACCGACCCTTGTGGCACCCCACAAACAAGGCGCCTCGGGGTCGACCGCTGCCCCCGTCAACACGGATTGCAACCGGTCGGAGAGATAGGAGGAGAACCACCGCAAAACGGTGCCCCCCACTCCCAGTCCCTCCAGCCGGCGCAACATGATACCATGGTCGATGGTATCAAAAGCTGCTGAGAGGTCTAACAGGACCAGGATAGAGGAATAACCCCTATCCCGAGCCCCCCAGAGATCATCCACCAACGCGACCAATGCCATTTCCGTGTTGTACCCAGGTCTGAAGCTGGACTGGAGCGGATCCAAATAGACAGCTTCATCCAGGTACTGTGGAAGCTGTCGCGCCACCACACTCTCAACAACCTTCGCAATAAAGCGAAGGTTGGAGACTGGACGATAGCCAAAACAGCCGGATCCAGGGATGGCTTCTTGAGGAGAGGCCTCACCACCGCCTCTTTCAAGGCGGCCGGCACGACACCCTCACTCAAAGAAGCGTTGATAATTCCCTGGAGCCAGCCTCGTGTAACCTCCCGGGAAGCCAGCACCAACCAGGAGGGACACGGGTCCAATAAACATGTGGTGGCATTCAGCTGTCCCAAGATCCTGTCCACATCCTTGGGAGCCACAGGATCGAACTCCTCCCAGATAACATTCTCAAGGCCTGCCTCAGTCATCTCGTCTGAACTAACCCAGTCAGTGGCCAAGTCTTCCCGAATCTGAGTTATTTTATCATCCAGATACTGTACAAAATCCTCAGCTCGGCCCTGCAAGGGGTCCTCCCGCGCTCCCAGATGGAGAAGGGAGCGGGTCACCCTGAACAGGGCGGCTGGGCGGTTATCTGATGACGCGATAAGAGCGGCAAAATAGCTAGATTTTGCCGCTTTTATTGCCACTAGGTAGGTCTTAATATGAGACCTTACCAGTGTCAAGTCGGATTCGGAACGGCTGGCCCTCCAACCGCTCTCTAGGCGTCTTTTCCGGCGCTTCATCTCTCTCAGCTCCTCAGAGAACCAAGGAGCTAAGTGAGTTCGGTGCCGGGTCAGAGGCTGCAAAGGCACGACCCGGTCCAAAGCCCTGGCAGCCGCACTATCCCAGGCGGCCACCAGGTCATCAGCCGAGTCGTGAGCTAGAGTTTCAGGAAATGGCCCAAGCTCCATCTGGAACCTATCAGGATCCATCAGGCGCCTGGGGCGGAACCACCTGGTCGGCTCCGCCTCCCTGCGACAGGGTGCGGCGGTCAGAAAATCAAGTCGAAGGAGCGAGTGGTCAGACCATGACAAGGGTTCAGTATCTATATCCCCTATATCAAGGCCACTCAACCACTGACCAGAGACAAAAACTAAGTCCAGAGTGTGTCCCCCCATGTGAGTAGGGCCGTGAATTACTTGGGTCAGGTCCATGGCTGTCATGGAAGCCATGAACTCCCGAGCTACCTCAGAAGTTTCACCAATGGATGGCAAGTTGAAATCCCCCATGACCACAAGTCTGGGGGTATCAGCCGCCACCTTGGCTATAACATTGAGGAGTTCGGGCAGGGTCGTCGCCACGTGGCAGGGAGCCAGGTACGTGATCAACAGACCCATCTGCACCCCACGACCCCACTTCACGAAAAGGGACTCACATCCGGCTATCAGGCACAGTGGTCTCCCTCGGATCAAGACCCTCTCTTATAATGACCGCCACACCCCCCCCCCCCCCGCCCCTGCCCTGAGCTCTCGGCTGATGAAATGCACGGAAGCCTGATGTCTCTGTGCTGAATCTGGCTAGAAATAAAACTAGCTAAAGAAATTGTCCAGATGTCAATTCTTTCCTGACATTTGGTAATTATTGTGGCCATATGTTTTTTCCTGAGGATGGTTACCACAGTTCCTGATTGGTAAAGTAGTTTGCCTAGTTCTGTCAAGAAATCAGGCACCAATTTAATAGATCTTTTACATGAGCCCTTCTCAGTTGAATCACCCTTATATCATTGAAATGTGGAGCTGTAAGGTTCCATAAGGATCACCTAGTCCTAGTCTAATACTGTCCAATATGCAAGAAAACCAGTTAAACCATCTTTGAGAGGTAGCTACCCAAGGCTGTTCTTAAAAGCCTTGAAAGATGGAGGCCCCACAATCTCAGACTGTTCCACTGTTGCACAGATTTTATTGTCAGTTTTCCTTATATTTAAATTAAATCTCTGCACCTTATTATACTCGTTATTTTTGGACTTAGCTTATCTGGCAATGGGAAATAGTTATAGAGTATATTTTATATAACATCCTTTTCTGTACCTGAACAGATATCACAGTTACCTTCAATTTTGAAGGTAACAAAAGACTGAACATCATCTTTCAGCTTGGCCTCATTAAGCATGGCCTCAAAGTACTCACATTTGTTGCCTTTCCCTGAACCTATTCACCTATCTTTGATACAGTGTTGTTTCTGATGCAGTCCTAATAGTATTAGCCCTTCTCGCAGATATCTCAACACTGCTGGCACATGTTCGTCTTATTTTCAACAAGCAAGACCTTCCTCATTATACTTCTTCCAAGCATAAACTCCCAATTTTGTATGTGTACCATATGTTTCCTCTTTAATACCTTATATTTTCCCTGTTAAATATTATTTTTCCTTATCAGCCAGCCTTCCAACCTGTCCAGCATAGATTGCAATCCGATGCTGCCTTCCTGGATGTTGCCCAGAATTCCCTATTTTGGGCCATCCACAAAATTGAGAAATATTCCATCAATATTGTTATTTAATAAAAAATAGTTGGATAATACTCCGACTCAAGGTTGCTTGCAAGGTTGGTGCTGCATTTCTGAATACTAAGGACCAGTCAGCTGTGGATCTTCCCTAGCGTAGTGCCATCTAAATCAAGTTTTATCTATTTGTAAATTAAAATTTCACGTAGTAACTTTACCAAAAACTTTGCTAAAATCAAAATAGACTGGAAGAAGATTTTTAACTTTTTATATGAAAACTATGTGTGCTGTGCTTAAAACAATGATATAAATGTGAGGGAATCCTGTTTGAAACTGGTATTTCAAATGTTTTACAAGGGCTCCTTTAAAAATCCCAGACACATACCACCCATCACATAATAATCTGAAGAATGTAAAAATTTTCTGCCCTGTTTCTGAAGAAGTAATTGTGGCAGGAATGGAGAAAGAAAACTTATTAGGAAGAGGAGAGCTGTGTCCCGTGTAGAAGACTTCCTAAGCTGATTCCCTTTCCCATATTAATTGAAACCATCCTTCTCTCCCACCCCCTGTCGGAGGCCTCAGCGGTGCAGCCCTCCCTTTCCCAACTCTGGAGAACTTGGCGCTTCGGCCGGATTTCTCCCTCCTTCTTCTCACGGGCGGAGCGGAGGAAGATTGCGGACGGGTTCGGAAGGGGGCCAAGTCCGCCGATGGGGGAGTGCGGGGTGCCCGCTGGCGTCCAGTTACTACTTCGCGCTTGTGATCAGGGAGACTGCGAGTGTGCCCGGCGATTGCTAGTAGGACCCTTGCCTGCCGCCGAAGAAGCCGCGGCTGAGGCTGGCAGCGGTTCGTCTAGCGGAGGTGGGGCTGGGGCTGCGGCGGACATTCCTCCCGGCTCGGTGCCAGTGGACTGCACAGACGAGGCGGGCAACACCGGCCTGCAGTTCGCAGCGGCCGGGGGACACGAAGAGCTAGTGGGCTTCCTGCTGCGGCGGGGGGCCTCGGTGCAGAGCCGAAATCACTGCGGCTGGAGCCCGCTCATGCAAGCAGCCAGGTTAGCGCGGCGGGAGAAACGGGGAGGGTGGGGGGTGGCTCAGCGGTCCTTGCTGGGCAAAACTGGTTGGCTATGTGGCTCAAGCGCGCTGCCTACTGTTCAAGCTCGGGATAAAAACAACGGTGGAACAGCTGATGGGGAGGCCCCAGAAGCTGCTTTTTTTTTTTCCACAGCCGAGAGGGTATCTTGGCTTTTTGTTTCCAGATCGCTCTCCTTTGCCCCTCCAACTAGATTCTCCTGGGTCTTTGGTTTCCCTGACTCGTTTACGCTCATTGCAGAGTTTTTATTATGTTTTTCGATGTTTTATTTTTTTTCAAATTGCTTCCGTTTTCTTAGTATGGTAAAAAGTGAGAGATGAAAAGTAGTATACAAATGTAGACATGCAACGATATGTAAGCAAAGTTGTATATCTTTATATCATCAATATCTCAAGTGACTGTTAGAAATCTATTTAATGTTACTTTGTTGAGAAGGTGCATGATTTTAAATTTTAAGTGTATTACCTAAACATAATGCCTGAGCAACCAAATCCATGTCTGAACCCAAGCACCACTGAGATACTACAATATTTCAGCATACAATATACTTAGGTGTTATTAGTTTCTTATAAAGCATTAGTGGAAGGCATTTAAATCTGAGATTCAGTGGCATGGAATGGATTCTGGCTCCTTCCATAGTTTGCAATTTGTCCCGAGATAGTTTCTTTCCAGCCATCTCCCTTCTCTAGTATAAGATTAGACAAAAACAGCATTGAGAGGCAATGTTGAAAAAAAAATCAGAGGTTGAAGAAGGATTCAATACATTTCTCATCTATGCATGCTATGCCTTAATGAAACTCCCTGGGAACCAAGTGTTTGGAATAAAAAACATAAATATGCTGCTAAATAATTTGGGTTGACACTGAAAGCTAAGACATTTGCAGCTCTGTTGGATATAGTTTCAGTTTCAGGTTGGTCCCTTTTATATATTTATATATTATATGCAGAATGAACCTGAGATACTGAAGGAAGCATAATAAAATTTTGAAAGAGTAATAAACCTGAAATACAATAAACTAGAACTAGGAGTCACTGTTAAAAGAAAAGCACTATTTAATTTTTTCTTCATTACCTATAGTATCTATGGAAATTCTCAGTCATCCAGGTCTTAATTGTCTGAAACCATGGGTTTGGGATTACCTCTAGTAGTTTTACACAGCAGAAGTAAAATACTCAAAAGCTGATTTGCTCTTTTATATAGGCCTTAGCCCTTTGGGCAGGGTTTAAAGTAATTTTTCGTAGTATGTGAAAGAGAAAACTGCTTTGGGGATATTTGAATTTGTCCTGTTTCTCCATCCTTACCACTTATCAAATAAATGCCTAAAGCCATCCTTCTATCAAATAGCTTTGATAACACCCTCTGCTTTTCAAACATTGGAACACTTCCAAAGCTTATTATATTGGTTGACCTTTACTTAAAGAGTTTCATCTGCTTTTACCACAAATGTTGCTGTTATGTATACAGTTACTATATACAAAGGCTATTAATCCCATATTTTTGCAATACACTGTATGATCTTTAAGTAATACAGAAATCTTTCTCTAAGATATTCAGATGGAATGCCACATGAGATGTATTGAGGCTGAGGCAAGCATGATATTGAACCTGGCCTCAGTATTCTAGTTAGACTGAGAATGAAACTTGGGAGGTCCCAGCACACAAATATTTGTTATGTTAAGGCAGAATCCTTTTAAATCTAAATAATTTACATTTCTTTTCTTGGATATTATAATTATTTTCTTTTTCTTTTCCCCAATCAAAGGTTTGGACATCTAAATGTGGCTCGCATCTTACTGGAAAATGGAGCTGACCTTAATGCACAGAATAAATTGGGAGCCAGTGTACTCACCATAGCATCACGGGGCGGCCATATCAGTGTGATTAAACTGCTGCTGGAATCTGGTGCTTATGTTGACAATTATGATCACTTGAGTGTTAGCTTGGACAGCAGTAAAGAGGAAATGCCAGCTGTCACTCCCCTCATGACAGCTGTCCAACATGGGCATGAGGCAGTAGTCCATCTTCTATTGGATTGGGGAGCTGATTGTAATTACTCTGTAAAGACTATGGGCTGGACTCCCCTGATGCTGGCAGCTGTTAGTGGAAGAGTTAGTTTAGCCCAACAGCTTATGAACAAAGGAGCCAATCCTGATCATCTGAATATTCTGCATAAAACACCATATGAAATATCTGTGGATTTCAAACATGAAGATATGATGGATTATTTGGCACCTTTGACAACAGTTAGACCTCAGACAGGTATGAGCTGCTTTCACTTTATCTTGGAGTTGGGTATAAAATTTTCTTAGCAAAGAAAATAGATAACTTGCTGTATGTAATGGATAGTGAGCTAAGACAAGTTTACTGAGGCCTAAGATGTATAACACATAAAATACTTAACTGTCACTGTTCTTTTTTTTTAACTTCAATGTAAATACACAATCCAGATTTTTCTGTTTAAAAAATTCTCCTTTATTATGTCAAATAAAAAAAAAATAAGTGATATAATTGTGTGTTTATATCCATAGTAACAAAACCTGCATTGTGAATGCATGATACATCTTTTATGTATTATTTGAGTTTATGTCTGGCATTAAATTATAAATTATGACCAAATTACAATTCAAAATACCTGGGGGATGCAAAAAAACCCCACCAATCAAACAATCATTGCAACTTAATGAAATGTATTTTGCTAAATTAGGAGTTTTAATTATTGAATTGAGTTAGTATAGTAAGCCAGAATCAAAAAGAGACACATAATGACAACAAATGTGAAACAAGGACAATTCTAAAGTGATGCTGTGGATATAAGAGGCTTTCTGGATTATACAGAGAAGCTATTCAATTCATATGTTTGCTGAGCTGTTCAATAAATTGCATACAGATAGTCCTCACTTACCTACCATAATTGGGACCAGCAACCTGGTCATTAAGCACTTCAATCCCTAAATGGAAAATCACTTCACAGGCTTATGACCTCGCTTTTCCTTTAGTCATTAAGTGAAGTGATGTGGTCACTAAGCAAAAAACATGTGACTGCAACTAACAACTTACAACTTGGGCTTTGTATTCACTTTGTTGCCAGCCCATGGGAGGCTACAACAGTCATAAATCTGAAGATTAGTCACAAAGGTTTTGTTATCATTGTTGTAACTTTGAATGATTGCTGCATAAGGCAGCTGGTAAGCAAGAACTACCTGTATTAAAGGATGTGCTTTGCACTATGCCTTTCCCCCCCCAAATTCTGGCATTGCTGAGATGTGATCATCTTAGCTTAGAAATAGGCATATATTTGGCGTCCATGAGCACATTAGAGGTTTGAAAGCATATTGTGGGCTTTTCACAAAATGATCCTCATGGGACAGTTTGCTTGTTTACAGAATGGCTGCCATTACAACCATTTACAAAAAGGAAAATTGAAGAGATTGCTGTTTTCCATTCTCATAAAATCTGCATATTTTACTCACTATATCACCCTGTTCAACCTTGACTTTTTTCTGGGAAAATTAGCTACTGTAGATTAAAAAAGTACTGGCATGTGTTTTTCTATCCATTTCATTTTCTAAGATACTAAAACCAGAGGATTTATTGAGATAATGCCTTTGCTTTGCAGAATGTGAGTTTTATATTTACTATTATTTTGAAGTAACTTAAATAATAATAAAGTTAGCTGAACCTCTCAATAGGTACCAGAGGAGATATCTATTGGTTAAGACTATGTTGACTAATTCATAATTCATGAATAACCCCCCTTTTATCTAGGTGAATATAAATATAGTTCAAAAGAATATGAACATCCAAAAATATTAAATCTTATCTCAAAATTGAATTGACATTATATGCAATAACTTCCTTCCAAAATATAACAATTTAGAATACTGTACAAACATTTATTTAAGTGATTCATTAATCTCATTGCATTTCTAACAACCTCACAATCTACTCAATCCTTTTGAATATAAATGCAATGGAGTCCAGTAAATCTAACTATTTACGGTATTAGTTCAATAAGACATAATCTAGAATTTGTTGAAATGTTCAATATCCCATTGCCTGGGCAAAATATGAATCTATAATTCTTTATTCCATCCAAACATTTAAATTTGTATATCATATTGATTCATGACCTATAGGAAATTATAAGAATTAATTACAGGAGTTTTTGTATCATAGGGTTTAATAACCACTTGTGGATTAGAGTCATTTTGAGACTGAAAATGCCATGAGTGCAGACTATGATGTCAATCTGTGTAATTGTAAATACTGTTTTCAATCACACAATCAAATATTTGTCTTTTAAAGAAAAAGATAATCATTCATTTCATGTATTTATTGAATCAAAATATAAATCTCAGCTTCCCTCTACATTTTCCATATAATGCCATTCCTTAGAAATAATATAAGTACTGCAAACCTTATGACTATATAAGAATTAGTAGAACTATTTGAAGTTTATTGTGTTTCATTGCACTTATTAAAATTAAATTAAGTTGCCATTTCCTAGACTTTTGTACAGTATAAGGAGTAATAATGCCTTCAGTTTAGGCAGCGTATAGACATATGCTGTTTTCAAATAAAATTAATGCATATATCATATGCAATGTCTGTTAATAATTCAACTAATGTTAGTATTAATTCCTATTTACTTGACAATATTTTTACATAATGTGCAATCAGCTAAACAAGTTAGAAGGTCCTAACATCACAGTATATACAGTCACAAATTCTGATTTTGCAGTTTCCAGCTACAATTGCTAAAAATGAGCACTTTCTGCCTTTTAAGGCTAGAAACACAATAAAATCTGTAATGTAAGCCTTAACAGAAGCTTTGCATGTTTTTTTAAAAAAATAATGAAGAAGCACCTCTATTACCTCGCCCACAAATCTGGGAAAAAAGAAATCTTGTCCAGCCCTTGTGTATCCCATGGCTACACCCACTTTGTTCTCCAGCCTTCAGAAGGCTTAATCTCTCAAAAAACATATGGTTTCAGGTCAAATAATTTGCTTGCTTATCTTTGAATTAGGAAACATTCTATGACCTTCACAGCCTATCATCAGAAAAAAATCTTTAACAATATTTGACCATCAGACATCATAATTGGATATGGTTATAAATTATATAACTGGATATAAATTATTTCTAAACTTGTGTTTTGCTTGACTATGATATAAGAGTAATTTGCGTAGGAATTTGCCTTTGGAGAAGATAATCATAAAGTACTTTACCTCCCACTCTCAGGATCTTAGTCCCAATGAGGACTACCACAGAAAGCAACAGTTTAGGACTGCATGGGTTTATTGAAATTCAGGACAATTAAAATACCGTACAATTGATTTACAACTGTCCCTTTACTACATTTCTCAATTACAGTGCAACTAATTTGAGGTACATAACATGAGTTTCAGACTAATGTAAGCAGAAAAATTATTTAAATTAGCAATCAGATTGTTGCCATAAATCAGCTTGTAGTGCCTTAATTCTACAAAGAAGATTGTGAGAAAAGTTACCGGTACATGCAGAAAAGCAGCAAGCAAAGTAGGATACACATACAACTCATTCATACTTGTAGAGTATATACAGATATGCTCATACACAGAGAGCTCTCCTTTGTCTCCTGTTTTAAAATAGAAAAATACTGGATTCTGAGCTTCCTCCTCCTCCTCCCCTTCTCCTCCTCCTCCTCCTCCTCTTCCTCCTCCTCCTCCTCCTCCTCCTCCTTCTTCTTCTTCTTCTCTTCTCCTCCTCCCCTCCTCCTCCTCCTCCTCCTCCTCCTCCTCCTCCTCCTCCTTCTCCTTCTCCTTCTCCTTCTTGAGTTTTGTCCAAACAGTCCTTTAGGTTTTGAAGCCATGATGTTATAGTAGCTAGCTTTTGTCAATCTTGTTATGGAATATTGCTACACTTCTAGAAAATTATACTGTAATAATAAAATGGACAGTTCTTGAGCAATTTTTGATTATTGACATTCATATCAGTCATACTGAGATCTTTTTCTGGTTTTTGACATATTGTCGTTTTAATCCACCAGTGGTGGATTTCAATTTTTTTTACTACCGGTTCTGTGGGCGTGGCTTGGTGGGCATGGCATGGCTTGGTGGGTGTGGCTTGGGCATGGCAGGGGAAGGATACTGTAAAATCTCAATTCCCACCCCACTCCAGAGGAAGGTTACTGCAAAATCCCCATTTCCTCCCGATCAGCTGGTACTTGGGAGACAGAGAATAGATGGGGGCGGGACCAGTCAGAATTTTTACTACCAGTTCTCCAAACTACTCAAAATTTCCGCTACCGGTTCTCTAGAACTGGTCAGAACCTCCTGAAACCCAGTTCTGAATCCAACCTGCCATGCTGTTGATCCATTTGATCTACCCTGTGATCTATCCTGGGCTCTATGTATTGTATTAAAGCTGAATATTTCATAATGTAGTTAAGTTAAATATGCATTATTATTACTAGCAAAGGTTATTCCTGGGACACCTGAAAAGAGACTTACTATTCAAATATGGATTTTCTCTGATTCCTCTAGTCCTGGGTTTCTGTATATCCAAACTAATCTAACATTATATCTTTTTGGTAGTCTCCCTTACCAGTACTAGCCAGAGATAACATTACTTACTTTAAAACATTAAGACTTTAATGACAACAATAAATGGAAATGTAATGAAAATTGAGAAAAGGAGGGATGTTATTCTATTACAGAACATGCACAAAAATTGGAGATCCAATCTTTTGTATTTCAGTTAGGCTAGAGAAGACTGAAATTACGGACTGCCAGTAATAATAAAGAATAAATAAATAGTTTGCCTTGTCTTCCTATGTTCTAAACACCTAATGGGTAAGGAGGTAATAACCTACCTCGTCTCCTTCAAGAGAGTCTTGAAGGCTTACAGTAGTTCTTCCTCCAGGCCATGGACTAGGATGAGTGGAGGACTTACTTGGGAAGGTGTGTGAGGCTGGGTATTGTTCCCTTTAGGTGAACCATTTTGCTTTTCTTGATGAATTCTTTTCATACTTGATATTTGTTCTTTGCTTACCAGAGTATTTGGAGTCAGATGACCTGATAAATATGATTTCTAAATGAATTTAATATTATTTCACATAGCTGTTAAGTTTTAAAAATTAATGGAAAAATATACCTGATTTTTTTAGGTTGCTAAAGGTTTTTAACATTGCATTCTAAGAGATACTCAGTATTCTTTCCATTTAAAGAAAAACCACTACAGTACATTCCTTTCACAATGCCAACAACTGCCATCTTAAGAGGCCAAGAGGGAAAGAAATGGACTGTAGTATCTTCGACAGTCCTCAAGAATAAGCATCTTCATATTATACTATTCAATGTTTTCTTTGCTTTTGCCTTTCAGAATTGAAAAGTTGAAATGCAGATTGTTGAGTAAATCAGTTTATTTAAAATTCTGGTACTAATGTATTTTCTGTAGTATTACCATAAGTAACACCCATATGATTTACATATATCTATTTCCTCTTTCACTAGATAAGCAGAAAAAACAACCTGATATCTTCCATGCTTTAAAAATGGGTAAGAGCTTTATAATTTTAATACATGTGGTTTTTAATCTATGATCTGACTCTGCAGTTGCTTTAGTAGTATAATAGTGGTTTGTAACCAAAGATTTCAAACTTTATATGAATTTTGGTTAATGAGTTTTGGTAGCTTGTTATGTATAATTCTTTCTGTCCTTCTGTTCCATTAGTTTATTTCCCTTCTCTGTCTTCTAGTCTTCTGCTTTTTCCTCATTCATATGAACACTTCGATTTTTCTGTTAAATCCATCTCTCTTTTTCTTTGGCTCTTACTCTTTTTTAGATCCCTGTAACTTCTGCCCTCTTTCCTAAGCTGCTCTGCCTGCCTGTAGGATCTGAACAGGGTTATCAATGCCAGCAAGCGGACCTTAGGTTCAGGGTAGTCCATACTGCCAGCACGCAGACCTTATCAAAATTCAGGGTTGATTCTTTACAAGCCCTCTTCTGTTCAAACAGTAAGTTCTCAAATTGTGTGGGACCCCCCTATGTAAATATTAATATATAGAAAATAAATTAATAGCTAATAAAAGACCTAGAATTAACATATTTCCTTTTGAACATTTCAAGTTGGTGTTATTTTCTTGATAGGAAATTTTCAGCTGGTGAAAGAAATTATTGATGAAGATCCGGCACAGTCCAATGTCATTAATGATGATGGAGCGTCTCCCCTGATGATTGCAGCTGTTACTGGACAGATGCCCCTTATACAGTTACTTGTTTCAAGAAATGTAGACGTTGACAAACAAGATAATGTCCATGGCTGGACAGCATTAATGCAAGCCACATATCATGGGTAAATACATTTATTTTGCTAGTGTGATTTGGGAGAGGTTTCTTTTTTTTCATAAAATTACTATTGTCTTTTGATTGTCCCCCGCCAGTCTCATGGGATGAAATTATAATCTCTTTATGATGGCAACCCAATTACATAAACATTTAGGATTAGTTTGGTCCATACATTGTACTAAGCCAAGATGACGGTTTATTTAATATTTTATCATTAAATTGTGATTTAGTGACATGTAAGTTAAGTTATTCTGTAGTTAACAGCTGCAATGTCATATGTATGTAGTACTATATGTTCTTCCTTTCTCCATAGAAGAATTTGTAGACAACATTGTTATTTATGTTACAATCTATGGACAAATCTATCTGATACCTTTCTTAAGGGAATGTTTTTCTACCCTTTTTCTGATAAAATTGTATTTATCAGACAAAATATACAAGGAAATTGTTCCTATTGTAGTGGTCCTTATTGTATATATTTCTTTATTCAAATATACTAAACATAATCGCTGAGGCTTGTGATGACTGAATTTGTATAACACAATCACAAATCAGCCAGCTACTTTTAATCTAATTAGCTGTATAAATCCAGCCTGTATGGTTAGTTTTTGGGGTTGTGTGAAGCTTGACAACTGAGTTAAATGAGAAACCCATGCTTCAGTTAATCAAGGATAATGTGTCAGGTTAACGTAGTCATCAGCTACCAAGCTGTTTAGGCCAAGTGAAAATGCATTGTATAAAACTGCAAGAATGCAGTGTAGAACCGTTATTGATACAAGTGATCTTGTAAATAGCAGTTAGAGTATTATTTCCGATAAGTAGAAATCATTTGATGGTGGTTGACTGCAAATAAATAGATTTATAATCAGAAAATTCTAATTTTCTGATTATATGAGAGCTACTGTAAGTTATAAACATCAGTTTGGACAAGAAATATCTTAAGCAAGCCATAGAATTATTGATGATAAGTTGAAATGCACATGTGACACTAAGTGGCTGGATCTCTTTACTACTACAGAAATTTTTAGTACAAGAACTAGGTACAGGTAGTCTTTGACTTACAACCACAACTGGGCCCAAAATTTCAGTTGCTAAGCAAGACAGTTATTAAGTGAATTTATGACCTTTCTTGGCACAGTTGTTAAGTGAATCACTGCAGTTGTTAAGTTAGTAACATGGTTGTTAAGTGAATCTGGCTTCCCCATTGACTTTGCTTGTTGGGAGAGTGCAAAAGGCGATCACATGACCCCGGGACACTGCAACAGTCATAAACATCAGCCAGTTGCCAAGCAGCTGAATTTTGCTCATGTGACCATGGGGATGCTGCAACAGTTGTAAGTGTGCAAAACAGACATAACTCACTTTTTTCGGTGCCACTGTAACTTCACTCACTAAGCGAATGGCTGTAAATTGGGGACTATCTCTATAAAGAACAAAAATCAACAATGGTTTAAGAGGGATTAGAGGTAGGAAGAAGTCACCTATTTCTAGTAACATCTTCTAATATAATCTGTCTTTAATATATGTATGTAGCTTATATTCTGTTTTATTTAAAGAAATAAAGAAGTTGTTAAGTATTTATTAAATCAAGGAGCTGATGTCAACCTGCGTGCTAAAAACGGATATACAGCCTTTGACCTGATAATGCTGCTGAATGACCCAGGTACTTCTGTGTGCTTATCTTGTATATCATAGTCTTGCTATAGTTAGAATAGAAACACTTTACCAAACTGTGTGAATTTTGCAGATGCGGAACTTGTGCGGTTGTTGGCCTCTGCCTGCATGCAAGAAAAGAATAAGCAGAATAGCAAAGTAACTGCACCCTTTTCCAGAAATAAGCAATCCATAGGTATTCCATTGTTGCCAGATGACAAGGGAGGATTGAAGGTATAGAAATAATATATTTATCTTTTCAGTGAATCTTTATTTTGAACAGAAATCTGACAGCAGGCTTCAGCTATTCAGCTATTCTGTCAGTTTGGGGAACAATTTCAGAGTTTTTCCCAGTAATACTTCCTTCTTTTTCTATGTCACTGTTTATTTCATTGCCGCTGGCTCTTAGCTAAGGCCTTTTCATTCACATGAATGTTAGCCAAAGGAAGAAGGGAAGGACAGAGGAATATTTTCCAAGTTTCTGTAGATTTCTTAAACTTAATTATTAATTTATTTCAAATCAGTGTTCTAATTATCACCCATAGTTATATGTCTAAGGAAAACAACAGAATTATATTTTCTTTTCTAGTCGTGGTGGAACAGAATGTCCAACAGATTTCGCAAATTGAAGATGACCCAAACCTTAAATCATGGATTTTCCATGAATCAATCTATACCTTTTCCAGAAGAATCAAAATCCCCATTTGACTGTACAATGAAGGCTGCATTACAAAATGATAATACTGTAAATCATGATGCCACTACAGCTTGGGCAACAAAAAGCAAGTCTAATGGTAATAAACGTTAACTATTACAAGCATTTTATGCATGTGTATATATCTGTGTGTGCCCACATGCATAATCAAACAGATTTCAAGTTTAGATTAATGGGAGATTTGGAAATTCTTTTTAACAGACTTTGATGTACTTAATCGACTATGCAAAACATTTGAATGGGCACTCCACAAAGCATTTTAGCACATAAACCCCTTCTCAAAGCATTATAGCAGCTGAAGATTCTGCAAAATTTGTAGAGTTATTTCAAAGATTGTCCAAACGTTTTGTGTGTACATATGCATGGACAGCCATTACAGCTAACTGGTCATGGAAATACTTTCTGCGTGCACAGGTGCACGTACAAAAAACTAGGAATAATTTTCAGTTGAGCAGTCTTTCCAGAGAACATGCTGCTTTAAAGTTCCTATAGTGGGTGGCTCACTTGTATTACCTTGACTCTTGAGATGCCCCTTTCAAATGTTTATGTAACCCCAATGTTTACATGAAAACCTGTTAAAAAGTTGGGAATTATTAGGTTATTGAATAATAAATATTTTCATAACAATGTGTCTAGCTTATAAACAATGGAAACAGGTTGCCAGAAAATTCTAATTATTTGCTGCCAACCAGTCATAATTGCTGCCATAATGGATTTTTGTAACTTAGATATGATAATCTTATCCTACCATGTCTTGAATTTAGAGTGAAAGTATAATAATTTAGACATAAAGATTGAAGGGACTGTGAGTGGCTTAACAGTACATAATACTACATAAGCATGGGTCCCATTAGTTCTTTGTTTGGGGGGATGTTGAAAATCCCATGTAAGATCAGGGCACATCTATAGTAACTATGTACTTTTAAAAGCAATAGAAATTAAAAGAAAACTACTGTATATTTAGGGCTGTAGAAGATTTCTGTGGATATTTTAGATGATCTTTTTAATGTATAAATGAACACAGGAATTCATAGAATACAGTGAATTGTATTCTTAATTGAATTCAGTCATTATATTACTAGGAGAAATTGTAGTGGCATGTAATATATGCTCCTTTTTTTGAACAAAGATTATTTTGTAGATTTACAATGGCACAATTAACATTGGTGTGGATATGTTTTCCCTTCAGTTATCCACACTGCCAAGGCTGGAAAAGATGATGATTTTCTGACCACGGTGGTAAGTCACCTTATACAGCTACCATAACATACAATATCAAATGTTGGCAGATTGACCAGTAACTTTGTGCAAAGGGGAACCACTAGCCCTGTTCAAACATTCCCTTTGTGTCTTCAGTTCAACTTATTAGGAACGATAAACATCCCCTCCCCTCAAAGTGTCAGTTCTTTGCCACAGTGAGGAAACAAGATGAACCAGGTGACAAAGTTGACTATACAATGACACTTGGAACTCTTTTGATGTAGTATAATAACAGAACCTTGAAAGCCCATGGAGTTTCTCTGTCCCCATCTTATAGCCAAGAGAATCTACTGTAGGTAGGACAGTTTTCAACTTCTTTCTCACCCCTTTGTCTCTATCAGATCTAAGCTAGTCTTTAGTAATTGCGTTCCTTCTTCAAGTCTGTCTCCATGCTTTTCTATACCTACTTGCAGGTAGTCTTTGTTTAGTGACCGCAGTTGGAACCAACAACTCAGTTGTTAAGTGGTCACTAAGTGAAATCATGAACACATTTATGATCTTTCATCAGCCTTTCTTTGCTTTACAGATATGTAGTTGTCTTAAATATAAGGATTGGTCACAAAATTATTTTTTATTATTATCATAACTGCAAACAGTGACTAAATGAGACAGTCTCTAAATGAGGACTACCTGTACACTGTTTATATATGTGACGAACTGTGTCTATGTTTATAAATATATAATGGGTAGCCTAGCTCCAAAGTCAATAGTGGAAGATACCAGCTTACATGAAGGTCATTATGTATATTAGGAGGTTCCCTATTACTGTTAGTCATGATTTAATCATGGAGATTAATTCTACTTATAATCACTAGAATAAGAAAGGGAGAAGGAAATCAGAACAAGAAATGTTTAACTTAATGATGAAACTCAAATTGGAGTACCTGAATAACATTAAATAAAGAGATGTAAATATAAATGAATATAAATGTGTAGATAAGAACAATGAATATTATAGAGAACTACAAAAGCAAAATGTGTATGTAGATACAAAATGCTGTAAAATTACCATTGACGGTATGTAATGTTCAATATGTTATGTCTTGATGTGTTTTGTTTTTATATATGTGTGATTGTTTTTTGTGTTGTTTTTAAAGACAAACTGTTTAATAAAAAAAAAAATTAAAAAAAGGAAAGAAGAAGGGGGAATTGGTTACCATTCCTTGACTATTTGACTGCATATTAATATTATGTTAATTATGTTAATATTATGTTAATTATCTTAATATTAATATGTTAATAGAGGCCTTCTCCCTGAAATGGGTAGACAATGTCTAAAATGATGATTAATATATTGTTAGCATTTTAACAAGACTAGTGGTTTCTTCATATCTACTATTATTCCAACAGTGAAATAGCAGCTGTATCATTTTGTTGAAGAGCCATATAAAATATAGTATTCTTTTCTATAATTAGAATAAGAAGCAACTGTATGCTGCAGATTGTTTGGAATGGAACAGTTAATATAGTTTCCCAAAGCATTTCTTCCAATTGTGCACTGTAATACTGTTAAAAAGCAACCTGGTTTATGGCTGCAAATCATGAGGAAAGAATGCTGCTGCTCCTTGAATTAACATGGACTAAATAAAAAATGGTTTGATAGCGAGTCAGATGGCCCTTCCTTTCTATCAGTATATGAGAAATTGCTTTAGAAATGTTCAATTAGGAAGTGTCCTGAACAGTTACTTCAGCGTGGGGAACTTAAATGGGAGGAGCTACAAAAGCATAATTGCAAGGCTTGGAATCTGTAATGACTCCAACTTGTATTTGGAAAAACCCAGTTCTAAATGCTGAATTTAATTAATACTGGATTGAATGATGTCTTCCAAACGATCATTGAGTAAATGAATGCCAAATGACTTCAGTTTTGGGAATTAGGAGGATGCTCTTGAAAATGATAAAAGTGGTTAATTTTTGAGTGCTTGGGCTTGTAGAAAACCTAGTTGAACTGGTAGACGTTACAGAATAATGTCTCTAATTGGTATATATATATATATATAGCTATACTCTAATTTGTTTATACAGAAAGGCACTATAAAATGAACTACTAAGCAAAATAGATACATCATATAAAAGTTATGACAGCTAAAATTAGTAGAAATTTTTGCTTTTAATTACTGCTTAACTTAATAATATTATTGAAGTCTGATCCATCCTAAACTTCCACCAATATAACTGGAGAAATGTAGTTCCAAATATGATGGGCCATGGCCTACAGATTGAAAAAAGAGAGAACATCTTCGTATCTATTAAATCTGTTACAGGCATTTAAGGGTAAGCATATTGTAGGTGCTGTTGATTAGAAAAAAGGAATACAGGGGTTTCTTGTACAGGTAATCTTCAATTTAAGACCATTTGTTTTAATAATGATTACAACGGCCTTGGAAAAAATGATTTACAATCTGTCTTCAAACTTAATGATAGTTGAACAAATCCTGCAGGTGTGTGATTGAAATTCAGGCACTTGGCCAACTGTTCACATTTACGACTGCTTGCAATGTTGTGAAATTACATGTTCACAATTTGTGATTTTCCCAGCCGGTTTCCGCCAATTGGTGAAGCCATATTTGCTTAATAACCATGGTAAAAATGATCATAAAATTGGGTCTGGTCATGTGATGTCTCGCTTAATGACTGCTTAGTAACCAAAGTTTCGGTCTCAGGTTTCGGTCCTAGGTCGAAGACTACCTGATCAGGATTTCAGACATGCCACAGGAAGACCAATTAAGAAGGAAATTAAATAAAATGCTAACTAAATAGTGATGTTCAAACTTCACTAAGAAAAAATAAATAAAATGAAACAAAGTAGAATGCCTTGAAAATAAAAATAAAAAAAAATAGGAAACTCAATTTATCAAAAGTTACTTGGAACTTGAGCATTCAGCTAAGAAAAGTACTATTACATAGAGAAAAGGTTGAGAATGCCTGAAAGGTGAAAACATTGAAATTGAAAAAGAAGGGGTTTCTTTTGTTTGTTTTAGTAAGTATCATGAAGTTGAAAAGGTGACTAAACAGGCAAAGATTTGGAGCAGAAACCAGGATAAACTAAAAGAAAAAAATGTTCCTGTATGGAGCTCTAATTGTTTTCAATTTTTTTCTTTTCTATTTTACCCCTTTGATTCTTTCAAATTCATCAATTTGATTTTTAATTGTGGATTAGTGAATAACCTATTGGGATGAAACTTCCACAGGTAGTTATTGCTTATTGTAGAAGTTTGATGCAACCTTAGGCCTAATTAGGGATACAGAACTTGGCCTTATAGAGTAATACTGTACATCTAATTGTTTCTGCTATACTGAACAAAGCCTTTTCAGCATAATCTCATCCTCCAAAATTAAACCTGTTTGACCTAGTGTCATGTTAGGTCTCCCTTTCAGCCAAGATTATCACAATTAAACCTGAATGAAAAATATTTACTTTTTGAATAAAATCTATTCAGCTTTACTTTTATATGATTAATTTATATTCAATGATGCATGTAAATACTATTTAGGAATTACTTATATTCTTATTAGTGTTGTATTTAAAGATCTTACCTGTTGAAATTTTTGTTGCCTTTTGGTTTCCCCTGGTCAGTTAAGAAGTGGGGCTCCATTTACACGGCTGCCCAATGACAAATTGAAAGCTGTTATTCCACCTTTCTTGCCACCTTCAAGTTTTGAGTTGTGGAATTCTGATCGAACGCAGAACAAAGAGCAAACAAGACTTGGCTTTCCACACAGATCTACGAGCATTGACAATAGTGCTGACAAAGTAAGAGACTTATTTAAAGTTTTATTTAAAGTTTAATAGTCAAATTTCTGGGTTCCTTAAATACATTGTTCTGTATAAACACTGTATATGCAGAACACTGTATAAATTAAATTTGTGCTTTGAAATTTGACTATACTTTATTTTCATCATTTATTTATTAATGACCATATTTGGCAACCACCCTGGATACAATTCTGGAGGTTGCACAACAATGTAAAAAGAAAACAAAGATAATATAAGTAATATGCGTGTAGAAAAGAACTCCCATATAGCATTCTGTGCTATAATCTTGGATTCTTTTAAAATAGTTATTCTTGTGATTAATAAAATAAGTGCAGAAATTTAGACTGTAAAATTACAAAGATACTGGCATTTGATGATCCATTTACAGTTAGACGTGAGAAAGATTTCACCGTCAATCCCCAAATAATTTTTAAATGATTTGGCATTTCTCCAAGGTTTAATTTAGAATTCTTAACTATCATGCTGTTTTGTCTGTCAATGTAACTGCAAAACCAGCTTCATGAATGTATATGTTATGCAACTTGTTTTTATTATTCTACAGTTTACTCATTTTGTTTTGTTGAATGCTTAAAACTCTGTGAAAATGAATTTATTTTATAAATATTAGTAGAAAACAGTTACTTAAACTGTATTTTTCCAGACATCCTTAAGCAGAGGTACTAGACCAATTAAACTATCCACTTTTGTAAGAAGACCTCCAACTCCCAGCAATTCAAGTAATTTCAACCATTCACCTCATTCTTCTGGTGGATCCAGCAGCGTAGGAGGAGTTAGCCGGCATGGTGGAGAACTGCATAATAAATCAGGTATCTATACATTTTAAATGTAAAAATATATAAATTTAAATATAATAATATAGGAGATGGCTAGGCAGTACTGTGGATATGAAGGCCAAAAGGTGATTTGAAGTATGTGTAAATGCATATATAGCATTTGACTGCAACAGTTTAATGAAACATATTTTTCATGAGATCAAGAGATAGCTATGGATTATGACAATTGCATCCCAGGAAAAGATGCAGCTGCATTAAGGAGTTGTAGACAAATGCTACACTAGTAGATCTGTATTTTCTGAAGTACGTATTTGTTTTTGAAAAAAGAGTACATGGTCCTAATACTTTAACTAGACCAGCCAGATAAGCAAAGATTACATTACTAATACTGCTTCCTTGGTGAAAGTATTTGCCGGTGACAATCACTGTTGCCCAGGGGATGCCCAGTTGGGGCTCCTTTTGTGTCCTCGTGAAGTTGCCCACCAAAGTGGTACTCATTTATCTACTTGCAGTTGCCTGCTTTCAAACCTCTGGGTCAGTGGGAGCTGGAGTGAGTGATGGGAGCTCACCCCGCTCTATGCCAGCAACAATCTTGAACGCAAGGCTGCCAATCATCAGCCTAGCCTTCTAAGCTCATAAGCCACTGTGCTCCTTTAGAGACTACATTAAAAATTAGAATTAAGTTGATTTAAAACTGAGTTAACATTCTGTTTTTACAGGTAAAATATATTGATTTCTTTGTATCCCAATAGATTTAAGCTTGTCACATGACTGCGCCAATTTATGATTGTAATTTTGACAGTTCCAATTGCCATTGTTAAGCGAATCCTGTGTGGTCATTAAGTATGACATCATTTGATGTTCATTTGCAACCTCCTTCAGTTTCCCCATTGATTCTGCTTCTCAGAAACTAGCAGTGAAGGTCACAAGTAGGGATCATGTGATGGTGAGATACTGTGACTGTCGCAACTGTGAGCCAAGTGCCAAGCATCCACATTGCAATCGTGACTGTGGGGATGCTGCAATGGCAGCAGCTACAAGGGCTGGTCGTATGTGTCCTCATTTGGCACCATTGTAACTTTGAATGGTCATTGAATGAGTGGTCATTAAATGAGTATCTGTATAAAGCTCTTATCTAATTAACTCATGTGGTGGTGAATACTGGCAGAATTATAACCAACATAAATTCTAAAACCCAAGAGAGGTACTCTATTAGGATAGTGGCTTTACTGTTGTTACGATTTATTTTTGCCCATTGCAGCTATAAAGAAAGACCATTCTTCTCCAAAGCTACTTGTACCTATATGTGTGCACCTTTTTTTCTTATTTTCAAGCAAGCTTTTGAAAGAGGCGCCGAATCATCTGTTTTTCCTTTTTTAGCCTGCAGTGCTTGTGTGTTTCTTATGACAGTAAAATGGAAACCAAGTGGGCCACAGAAGAAGTTTTTCTTTCTGCTAGGCTGGTTACCAAATAAATTGATAAATGCAAGTTGACATTGTATCATTTAATTAATACGGGGAAGAAAAGAGGCTGGCTTTTTTATTTAGAGCAACGTGGACCCATAAATTATACAGCATTTGCCTTTTTAGACCTTTGTTTCTATGTGCTCTGGTAACTGCTGATAACTTCCTCTTCAAGCCTTTCTCATCTTAATATTATCCCACTCAGTTTTTGTGGGCTTCTTATCTCTCAAACCTGGTATTCTGGTATTCTGGATTTCTGTTCTGGATCTGAATACACCTTGCACTTGGACCTGTAAATTCTGCTTGGTTTATGACACATTGTTAGACAATAGTTAAAATCCATTCCTACATACGTACATATAATTGAGCTGCCATTATTATCTCAAATAGAACATTTCAGTTACACCTTTAAAATAATACCTTTTAAATTAAAAAGTGCCTTTGTTAAACAGTTTGTTTTAATGCTACTTGTTAAAGCATTGTTTTTTTTTTAAATTAGAAGAATAAAGTGTGGTATGTTGCAATTTAAAATATCTTCCTATCTATTTTAAGGTGGTAGCGCGGATAGCGTTTTATCTCAAATTGCAGCACAAAGAAAAAAAGCTGCTGGCATATCTGAACCAAAACCAAGTCAACAGCCAATTATAGGAGGCTTAATTTCATCTTGTCCTCCTGATGTGGAAAATGCACAGACCATTGGAAATGGACATATTCTTAAGGTTACATTTATTATTCTTATCTCAAAACTACTAAACAAACATGCATTGTAAGCGATTTTTTAAGAAAAACAATATATAATATATATATACATTTATAGGTGAAATGTAACTCTGCTATGTAATTGTATGTATGTATGTATGTATGTATGTATGTATGTATGTATGCATGCATGCATGCCTTCAAGTCAGTGTTGATTCCTGGACTAATCCCTCCAGTTTTTTGGCAAGTTTTCAAAGTGGCTTCTACCTTCCTAGAGCTGGGAAAGAGACTGGCCAAAGTTCACCCATCTGCCTTTGTGTCTAAGGTGGGACTAGATCTCACAGCCTCTCAGTTTAAGCTTGATACTTTAACCCTACATCAAACTCTCAGTAAATGTAGTAATAAAGCTATTAGTTATACAAAGGGTGTGTGGCATCTTAAACTATGAATATATTTATTACTGCATTTTAAAGAATTGTTTCCAGCATTTTTGATATAGGAACCATTACTTTGGTTCTAATACAGTGTGCAAAATGATAATGCCAGTAGTAAAGAGACACTAATCTGCAGATGCATCTTAAAGCCAGAGATGGCGCAGATAAAGTCCTTTGTTGAAAGCATAGTTCAGCAGTATATTAGTAGATTATCCAGGACTGTTTCTGTATTCAACCATTGCTGATTGATCAGCAGTAGCTAAGTTCTATTGCCATGCTGCTTTCAAGATCAGAAGTAAAATTTTGACCCAGCAACATAAATATTCTGTCCCTAGATAGTTGTCTGGTTTTATAACCATGCATCATTTGTAAGGCATATTCTTCCTTTTTCTTTTCGGTTTATATCATTTGGTCTATGATCATAAACTAAATAAACCAAATGAATTTTTTTTTGGGGGGGGGTTATCATATTTAGCTATTGTCCAGTAAAAGCTTAAAATAAAGATTTGACTGAAAGCCAAGATGGCCCAATAGTTTGACTCAGTGATTGGTACAATGGTTATTTGTTTCTGGCATAGTTGTTGTTTAAACCCATTTGCATGGTTTTACAGGTATAAAGCATACTAAAATTTTACACTGATCAGCCCATAAATATAAGTAATGTGTTTTCTTTGTCAGGGTGGCTATAATCTAGTTACTAAAAATTAAATTGCAAACAATGCTCAACTGTATCAATGTTTTTTTTATGACTTCCTTTTAAAATAAGATGGCTTATGGAGGATTGTCATTTTTTTCTATTGAAACTACTTGTCAGTAAGAGTAGTTCTTATAAGGGAAGTAAGTAGTCCAAAGAGATTCAGAAGGTTTTGTAAGCTTATGTTACAAGTTGAAGTATAATATGATTTCTCCGGTGCGCGCACATTTGCGAACCGGTAGGGAAGGTAAGTGAATTTCACCCCTGGGTTTGCCCTCTTGTGATTTTGTGGACACTGCCATGTATTTTCTTGGCAACAACATGGAATAGTTTGACATAGCCTTCCAGAATGTTCTGTAGTTTATTTGCATATCTATCCTAAGCAGATTTGATAATGCTTAGTTTTTTGAATATTGGCTACAAACTGCCCCCTTCCTTAAGCTTTGGGCATAGTAACAAAATAAACATTATTCAGATGCTTGCCAAGTAATGCTTGTATTTGCCAGTGCTGTTTCTCCACCCACCTGTTTCTCCTCTCCCACCCAAGCATTCAAACTGTTATTGAATAGAGGTAGACAAATGTATATTTTAGTATAATTGTGTTTAATGAGATCTTGATATGGGAATTCAGTTGCTGTGGTTGTCATTGCCAAGTATAAAATTATATTGATCCTTGCAGATTGCTCCGTGTTAGATTTCCACCTGCCTGTAACAAATATAGGCTTATCGAGTCTATTCCATTCAGTAGTGTACTCTTTCCTTCATGATGCTCACAATAGAAGATAATTGGTTTCAACTACTAAGGTTCTTTAGTACATTAATAGCATTCCGTGTGCTTTGTGGTACAGTCATGCTGTCCACGTGGCCACGGAAATGTCTTCGGCTAGCACTGGCTGCCTGGGCTAAGAAACAAAGATGAGCACTGCCCCCTAAAGTTGGAACTGATTGGACAGGGAATCTTTTACCTTTTTCTATGTTTTCAATATCTGAAAAGCTGCCTTTTATAACGGGGGAAATTTTATTCTCAAAACATGTGAAATATAATTCTATTCTAAGCATAAGGGAATAGTCCTTGCTGTGGAACATAATTTATCATTTTCCATTAATATTATATATATGTTTATCTTTGATGAACAGAAGCATTTCTATAGTTTTTTTAAAAAATAAATGGCTACCAGAAAGATAGTATTTTTAAAAATGGAGGTCTTCGTTGCTGTGTCATATCCTGGCTTCTCACAGCCTCCCCCCCCCAAAAAAAATGTTAAAGAGCTGTTAAAGAACGAACAGATAATTCAATTAGTTCATTAGTATAATAGTACTTCAATATATATTTAAATTCACCTACATATAAGAAGGCTGGGAGGATGGACTATGAAGCTAACTAGAATTAAGAAAAATGACTGCATATCATTTTGATACTGTATTTTTTGACCATATATAAAAAGAGAAAGCCGGTATTTGTTAGAATATAAATAAATGTCTAATTACATAAATTACATTGTATAAATTTTAGCAGCATACATTTAGCAATATATTAAAAATGGAAAGAAGCAATTTCAGGAAATAGTTGTACAGTTGCCTCAAGTTACACATTTTCAGTTAATTATGTATGTTTTACTTCAAATGATAGATCAGCTGTGAGATAAGCTGTATTTTCTATTTGTGTTCTGTAAATGCAAAATATTTAAAATTAGCAAACCTCTATAGCTCTTAAGAATAAATAATTGATATGGGCTTTTCTGGCACTAACCCATAAAGGAAGCTGAGGATATCGAAGGTTCCAGTTTTTCAGCAAATATTTTTTGTAGTGCTCACACTACTATCTAAGCAGAAGTCTCTATTTTCCAATACTCAGAATAGCTTATTACTAATTGCTACAGTTTAATGTTCATTGAGATAATTTACATAGAGAGAAATACCCAATAGATGTGCTTATTTAAACTTCTTTTTTAAGTGACATATTTTAGTAACAGGAGTTTCAATATTTTTGCTAGGTAAAACAGAAATTGGATGTGAACCAAAAACCTCCTTCTGAGAATTCTTCTACATCTAAAAGCACGTCCCCAACTCTCACGCCATCACCATCTCCATTACCATCCCCCAAGATACAAAGTGCAGAGTCTTCACTTTCTTCTTCTCACAGACAAGGGAAAAGCAGTGGTGGCTCCAGCAGTGGGACTTTAACTGATGAAGGTAAGTAGTGGTGGCACAGTGGTTAGAATGGAGTACTGTAGGCTAATTCTGCTGACTGCCGGCTCCAGCAGGTCGACAGTTCGATTCTCACCAGCTCAAGGTTGACTCAGCCTTCCATTCTTCAGAGATTGGTAAAATGAGGACGCAAATTGTTGGGGGCAATATGCTGACTCTATAAACCACTTAGAGAGGGCTGTAAAGCACTTAGACTATATAAGTCTAAGTGCTATTGCTATTGCTATATATAATCAGCAATACAAAAGAGTGTTGTTAGATGACACCATTTCAGAATGTCACTGCAATGTATTTTAGACTCTTGGGCACAAACACTGGATGTTCTTTCTGAGTAGGGTAGGTCATCACTGTGACTTATTTTTTATTCTTGGGACAGAAGGTGCACATCTGAACTCATGCTCCTGATGCTATGTTTAATTAGTAATATATTTTCTCTCATCACTTTTGAGGAATGGCTTCTAGGCAACTTACATTGGGAAGGTGAGAGATGGTATTGTGGTCTGCTGAAAACTGTTCAAGATAAGAAGGAAATTGTGGCAATTGGGGAAGGAAGGCAAGTGGAGAAGAAATTGGGCAAGCCTGAAAATCAACATTGCTTGTGGATGACAAGGCACAAACCATTCAAAATCACCAATGTTTCCTGTACTTGACCTAGGCAAATTTGGATGAGCAGTCTAACTCCCACTTGGCAGTATACCAGATAGTATATATTTAGATAGCAAAATGGGGTAAAATGAAACGGTAACAACAACCAGATTGGAGGTGGTAAAATGCACAAGATACATTTCTCTTACATTACCTTTTGTACATATCCTATTTTCACATTTGAATGTGCTGTATACTCTATTATAATGATTGTTTATTTAAAAGACTTGTCTGGCTGCCCATCTTAAGAAACACAACTCTGGGTGGCTCACAACAGCAATTTAAAACAAGAAACAATAGAAAAAGATGGGGTCATTGTCTTGTTATATCTGGAATAAACAAACCATCTTGATTTTGTTCTGTGTCTGTTATAGTAGTATCATACAGATTACAGGAATTATCTTGTCCAGAATGTTAGAAAGTAGGCTTCTTTTCACTTCCATTTTGATTTTCATATTCAAGCATAACTGTGCAACATTATTTTACAATTCTTATAATGCAATTAACATAAATTAAAACATTTATTTTTTTCTCCTTAATTTAAAGATGAACTTACAGGCATCCTAAAAAAACTCTCTCTTGAAAAGTACCAGCCTATCTTTGAAGAGCAGGAGGTAAATGCCCCCCCTTTTTCAAAAATATTGATTTATTTCACCAAAATGTAATTTCAAAATGTATCATCTGTTTTTTCAGAAACTGCGGAGCACAATAATCCCATCTACAAAGATGGTGATGTCTTAATCCTAGTCAAAATTGTTAAGCTTTTAATTCTGCAAACAACATTTGGTTTCTGTTTAATCCTATGCAGAAAATGTGGGACTAGTTTGGAGCTGCCTTTACTTTTTCAAATGTATTAATAGGCAATCCTGTCAATCATATCTATAGGTATTTTGTTTTGATAGAGCTAAATTTGGAACATTGTAGAAACTATCTGAGAAACTCAAGGCCTGTGGATTACCTGAATCCCTCACCCATTCTTTTGGCAGCCAGCATAACCTCTGGAGTGGAAGGGAGGGAGGAAAAGATAAAATCTTTCATCTCTTCAGGATCCTTCTGGGGGAGGTGTGTGTGTATGTGATTCTCTCTGAGTGTACATTTATGTATGTGTCTGTATCTGTATCTATGGTATATGTATATCTATTTCAGAACTTATATCATTTTTCTTTTAAAAATGCAAAAACAATTAATTCAACCATTCTTGGAAATAACATACATTTATTACATAGCTACAGAGGTGACTTTTCCAGGAACAATGATTCCTAAAAACTTATGTCTCAAAAAGAAATATGTCATTTTTCTAGGTCAGTGCCTCCAAAATTTAAGTATAAATGTTTAAGGATATATATATATTTGGAAAATGTATATGACTTAACAAGTAAATTTGATTGGTAACAATAATACATAAAACTATATTAATAAGAAATCAATACGAAGCAGTCCAAATGCCATTAAGAATGATGATTAAACTATAACCAAGACTCCGTTAACCAAAGGGGAACTACCAGAGGACTGGAAAAGAGCTTGCATGGTTCCCATCTTCAAAAAAGGGGAAAAAATGGATCCAAGGTACTACAGACCAATCAGCCTGACAAAATTACCTGGAAAGATCTTTGAAAAGATAATAAAGCAACAGATCTGCAAACATCTAGAAGCAAGTAAAGGTTCAACCAAAAGCCAACGTGGGTTTGTCACAAATGGATCATGCCAAACAAATTTTATTTCGTTTTTTGACAAAGTGACTAGTGGATTAGCAAAATGCTGTGGACATAATACTTCAATTTCAGTAAGGCATTTGACCTATTCTTAGTAAGTTAGAAAAATGTGGGATAGACAACATCACCACCAGATAGATTCGTAACAAAAGGGCAGTCAATGTATAGTCCTTAATAGAACTACATCTACATCATTGGTGGGTTGCTACCGGTTTGCCCTGCATCGGGTGAACTGGTGGCGGTGGTGGGAGGCTCCATCCATCCACCCGGAAGCTTCTGCACATGCGCAGAAGCATCATGCACTCGCAAGCGCGCGCGCACAAGCAAACTGGTACCAAACTAAATTTTAACCCACTACTGATCTACATGGAGGGAAGTAAGTAGTGGGGTAACCCAAGCTTTTGTTTTAGGCCCACTACTCTTCAATATAAACGATTTAGATGAGGGAATAGAAAGAGATCTCATCAAATTTGCAGATGACACCAAGATGGCAGGAACAGCCAATATCCCAGAAGATACGCTCAAAATCGACAGACTTGAACACTAGACCCTAACCTAGCGAAATGAAATTCAATAGTAACAAAAGTAAGGTTTTACATTTAGGCAAGAAAATGTACAGGTAGAGAATAGGTGGAGCCTGACTGAGTAGCAGCAACTGCGAGAGGGCTCTAGGAGTCCTAGTAGACAACCACTTAAATATGAGCCAGCAGTGTGCTGCAGCCACCAAAAAAGCCAATACAATCCTAGGCTGCATAACAGAGATAAAATCAAGATCTCTGATTTTAGTACTAGTGTTAGTACTTTATAACTTAGTACTTATAAGTTAGTACTTTATAATGATAAGACCATACTTGAAATATTGCATCCCATTTTTGTCATCACAATATAAAAAAGATGTTGAGACTCTGGAAAGAGTGCTGAGAAGAGCAACAAAGTTGATTAGGGAGGTGGAGGCTAAAACATATGAAGAACGGTTGCAGCAATTGGGTATGTTTAGTCTAGTGAATAGAAGGACTGAGGTGACATGATAGCAGTGTTCCAATATTTGAGGGGCTGCCATAAAGAAGAGCGGGTCAACCTATTTTCTAAAGCACCAGAAGGTGGGATAAGAAGCAATGGATGGAAACTAATCAAGGAGAGAACCAACCTAGAACTAAAGAGAAATTTCCTGACAGTGAGAACAATTTACCAGTGGAACAGCTTGCCTTCAGAAGTTGAGGGCACTCCATCACTGGAGGTTTTTAAGAAAGAGATTGGACAACCATTTGGCCAGAATGGTATAAGTTCTTCTGCTTGAGCAGAATGTTGGACTAGAAAACACCCAAGGTCCCTTTGAACTCTATTATTCTGTTAAGTCATACACCAAAAGGCAAATAAGATTCCACTAATGTTCATGTTCTAATGCCTTGAAGCACAAATAGAATTGATGTTTTTTAAAATCAATATTATAATGAAAGAAACTTTTCTAGTCCAGTTGCACTTCCTTGTTTTATTAATTATGTATTTTACAGTTTTAATGCATTTTTCTAATTTTTAATTCTATTACAGGAAACAAAAGATAGAAACATTTGGCTTGCATAAACTTAAATTTAGTAGTAAGGATAGGAGAGAATGTATAACATCGATAAATGCTTTACAGTATTTAAAGTATGTTACATATATTATTATTGACCCCCAATAATATTTCTGAAGTAGAACAGTTATTATCAAGAAGGTGGGCACTTAGGCTGAAAGTTGCTTGCATAAAGCCAGCTACTGAATTTGTATTAACTTTAAAATTGGGATTTTCTAAGATATGTTACATTTGAGACATACAAAATTGTTTGGGACTTAAATTTCTTGGAATCAAAGTAATGGAGAAGAGTGCAGTGCCTTTTAGTCCACAGGCTGCTTCATAATTTAAAAGAGATGTATTCATGATTCATGTTTCAACAGGTGGATATGGAAGCTTTTCTCACTCTTACAGATGGGGATTTGAAGGAACTGGGAATTAAGACTGATGGTTCTAGACAGCAAATCCTAACAGTTATTTCAGAGTTAAATGCAGGAAAGGTAATTCCGAATATCTAAGAGAAGTATTTATGGTTATTATTTTGCCTTTTTGCCTTTTGTTTTCCAATGGGTACAGTCTGTTTGTAATTATTTACAGCATAGTAATCATTATTATATTCAGCAAGTTTAACCTGTTAGAATCATTGAGGGATATAATCATTATAGAATCAATACATTAGTCTCTTAGGCTGACACTTATATTAGATGTTTACAGGTGATTCTGGTTTAGCTTGGCATTTCAGAATTTATGAACCCCCTTTTTATATGTCTATTGCACGGCATTGCAGAAATATTTTACACTTCACATCAAATGATTACAGCTTGTCTACCTGGTCATTATTCTGATCTAACAATACAATTTTGAATAGCCTCTTCAGGTCAAACACTTATTATTCAATTCTTTTCAGGTCAAACACTTATTATTCCACTCTACAAACACGGTTTATTTTGGTACTTCAAACCAAGTTTGTTAAACATGTATCAGACCAAAATATATAGTTGGTAGGATACGTGATGTTTAGTTTGATGTAATTCAAACTGAGCAGTCTTGGCAATATGTAAAGGCTAGAAGCACTAGCATTCCTTTTCTTGATATTCGGGAATAAAGTATGTCTTAAAGGTAGATCTGTAGGGGATTTTTCACTAATTATTGTAATAACATATTTAAGTATACCAACTGAGCTTTTGTTCCTTTTTTTAATTATGAACTTCAACAGGGACGAGAGAGAAAACTTTTACAGGAGACAATACACAACTTTCACTCATCTTTTGAAAGCAGCGTTAGCAACACAAGCCCTGGGAAACCACAGAGTATGTAGAAAACATTGAATATTACAATTATGCTAATATTTGTTGCATATTCATATCCTTTTGTATTTATTAAATTCATGAAACAAATAAAGGAGAAAACAATACCAAAATAACTTTCAATTATTTGAGATGCTCCTAAACCATCTCATACATTTAATTGCATAAAATAAGGATTTAAGGAGATGAAAACAAACACAAAAGAAATTGCACTAAAATACCTATTTGATTCTTAGCAAGTTTCTGGACCTCTTCAAACTAGTTTAGAGTTGGAGCCAGACTGAATATATTTGAAATTCGTTTTAGGTGGATTTGGTTACTAAATACTGAAATCTAACACTGCCCAATAGATACTGGCCATAAAAGTCCACAGAAATCAATCTATGTTTGTTTGATAGGACTGTGAAGTAGGTTTACATGATGACAGACATTTTTAAAATTAACTTCTGTCAGTCCTCGCAGGTAAACCAGACAAGAAACATGACAAGATGAATTAATTCTACTTTACTGTAACATTAATACTTCCAATGTTAAAGTATTTTGCCCCAGTCTGTTATCAAGTTGAATAGGTGTTCTTCTCCTTTAATTATAATGTTCTTCTGGCTACCTCTAGTGTCTAATCTTCAAAACCCATTCTATCATATTTTCTGGAATTCAAAATATCAGGCATTTCCCATGGGAAAGAGTCCTTCAATTAATTTCAAAATATCTTTTCAAAGTCCATCCCAGGCTCTTAATTTGTTTATAACTTTCTCAAAACATCACTTTAATCAAATTGAATTGATTCAAATCAGACTGTATGTAATTGATGAATTAGTATCTGAAGCCATTCTTCTAATATCCCTCTTGTAAGTTGTTTTTAAAACATTAGAGTCATTTGAAAAAACAAGAGTTCATGGGAAGCTATTCCTGCCTTTTCCAAACTTTTCTCAGGTTTGTTACCTATTCCCATGACAGTTCTTTTTTATTTAAAGACAGCTTCATCTGAGAAAGGCCTTTGGAGGATGACATCACGACCAGTGTCAGATCTCAGATGATTGAATAAGGAGTAGAAGAGACTGTAATTCCAAGCAGTCCTATCAGATCACGGTTTCTATAGGATTGTTTTTTTTTTTATTCACTTTAAATCTTCTACCCAGATGAAGAAAGGACACTGAAAAAAAACTTCTGTTAACTTTGCTTCTACTTATTTATTTATTTATTTATTTATTTATTTATTATATTTCTATACCGCCTTTCTCCCGTAGGACTCAAGGCGGTGTACAGTCAAGAAAAATATAGATACACAAACATCATAAAATTGCTAATTAAAATTATTACTTAGTTTGGTCAATTAAATAAAACCCAGAATTTACATTTTAAAAAATCATTCACATGTTCATATGTTTAGCCCCGCCTGTGGGAACATCAGGGTCTTGAGGGCACGGCGGAAAGCACGGAGATCAGGGATATTTCGTATCTCAGGGGGCAGTTCATTCCAAAGGGTTGGAGCCCTCACAGAGAAGGCCCTCCCCCTGGGAGTCGCCAGTCGGCATAATTTGACTGACGGTACCCTGAGTAGTCCCTCCCTGTGAGAACGAACTGGTCGGTGGGAGGCTATTGGTGGCAAAAGACGGTCTCGTAGCCAGGTCCTAAGCCATGGAGCGCTTTAAAGGTGATAACTAACATAATATTACTTAGTAATATCAGTTTTCAACTTTCTATCTCTTTATATTGAATAAGGAAAAGGGCCAATAATTATTTCCGTTGTCCTCTTTCTGTGCAGCATGAGAAGCAAATAATGCACACAAATTATTTTACTCTGCATTTGGGGGAGAGGGGTACAATGTTCAAAGATAGGTTTGTTTCTTACAGTTTCATTCATGTGAAATAAAGTTTAACTCCTTACTATATGTACAGTCCAACGAATACTATATGTGTTTGTGTTTATAGCACCTGGATGCTGGGTAAGACCACAGGAACCATCTCCTACCAAGAGATAAACTTCGAACCAAAGTGTCAGAAACATGAACTACAGACCAAGTATACCTTTGCAACATTTCATTGTGGAATATGCTGGAAATGTATTTTATTAATAGCAGATACTGTACCTCATATGCAAAAAAGACGTAGCTTTAATAAAGCTGGTCATATTTGAATGGTATGGTCCTTATTTTATTGAAATGAGGAAAGAAAACGTTATAGAAGCTGCATAGGCACTGCAGTAGCTGAACAACAAGAAATCGCTACTTCTCAACCTGGAAGACAAGAGTTTTTCAAATAGGGATAAAAAATTAACTGGGAACCAATGAAGTTCCACAAGTGATGTGGAACTTCATAAAGAAGTGATGTGATGTGTTCATATGCTTTAATTCCAGCCAGTACTCTGGCTATATAAAGTTTCTGAATTCTTCAATATGCACAAGAGCAGTCTTGTGTGTAATGCATTGCATTTATCTAATTTATCTAGTAAGGTATCCTGCTTCAACTGGTGAAAGGTGCTTCACACACAAAAGCCATTGGTGCTTTGAATGTCAGAGTTGGATTTAGAGGCAGTCCCTGGCAACAAATATTTTAGGGAGAATGTAGCTCTATCTACTGTAGATAAACCCTACTTATCTTGACAGATGATGCAAAACAACAGTGTTATTATTAAATTTAATAATTTAGTTTAATTTAATAATAGCACTTGTTTTGCATCATTTTTGGCTCTAATCCATTATTGCAGCTAGACACCAATTTAACAGTTCCACTCCCTCACCTGGTCCCAATCAAAAAGAGGGAGGGAGGGAGGGAGAGAGAGAGAGAGAGAGCTCATTGCATCCATTACCAAGGTGGATGTAATTGCTGCTGGTCATCATCGTCTTCTCTTTCCTTCTACTTTTCCCAGCATTATAGACATTACAGTATAGTAATTTAAGCATGATCATTTGTGCCCTGAGTAATAATTACAAGTTTTGTTCAATGATCATTTGTTTATTTTCTTAACTATTCATTCTGATCTTTGTAGGTATAGAAACATTGCAGCATCTGAAAATATTTTCTAGGGTATGGGTGTCAAGCTCGCAGCATCACATTGCCATCAGGTGATGTATCATGTTTTTTCCCTTCGCAGAGCTGGGGTGGCGTGGCCTATGTGTGACTCATCTGGCCCATGGGCCACCATTTTGAAACCCCTATTCTAGGGCCTGCAGGTCTATTCTACCAAGTGCTAGTCTGTAGTGTATTACTTGTCTGTCTGTTTCTTATAGTTGACGGTTGATCCTATAAAAGGCAGAACCTATTCACCACTTACCCTAACCTGTTGACATTAGCTAAGTTTCTTCATATTTAATTTTAATTCCATTTTATTTTTACTGCATTCCTTGACTTTTATTACTGGAGCTTTAGAACAGAGCCTTTACATGTTTGGGTATCAGTATAGTGTCATCTTGATGTTATTGAAGTTTCTTCTTTCAATGTAATATTATCCTCATCTCTTTCAAACAAGCTTCCGTGTGGGTGAGTGTGTTCAGTATATAGAATCTAGATTGATTGAATATATATAACATATAGGTTGAACAAATGTGTTAGATTATCATTAGTTTGCTAACATGTGAAATTAAGGAAATCGATGATGGTTTGCGCACACTATTAAGTTTCCTTTCTTTGGTTTGGTGTGTAGAGTGGCCTCTTCCAATCTGTTGGACACACTATCATTCTTCAGATTTCTTGGCATAGCTTGGTCACTTGATTACTTTACTGATTCTTCTGTTGTTTCTTAGATTTTGTGCAAATATTACATCAATTCTTGTAGACTCCTGATTTGGTAATAATTAGATTTTTTGCTAACTTCATCTTTTAGTACTAAAGGTTCTTTTAGATATGGGGGGGTATATATGCTATAAAATGTTACATTGTGGAAATTGGTTGACTTTTTCCTTCTGTTTTAACTTACATTGGAACCTGCACATGAGCAGACAGTAATCTGTCAGTCAGCCCTTGGCCATGGCTTGCTGTTATAACTGAGCAGTTCCATCTCTTTTTACCAAAAATGTAGTGTATTTTTTGTATACCATCTGGTGATATATACAGGTGTTGCATTAGTTGTTGTTTTGATACAAAAAGTTACGGTTTTATTTCAAACATCCAAACATTTATTCCCTCATGTACATTTACAGTTCAGATTTCTCAAACACAGTAGAAATATCTAGTCTATACTGAAATTTAAAATATGTTGATTCGTCTGTTGTGAATTATGGAGACAAAATTCTGCTTGAAGTCTAGAAAAATTCTTAAAATATTTGTTACAAAGTACTTGGTTTTAAATATTTATTTCAGGTTGTGCCTGCAATTTCCAATACAATTTTTTGCCTCTTACTTTTACAGTTCTTTTTCCATAAAATTAAATATTCATGAGTCTCAACATCAAAACCCAATCTATGACCCACAAACATGTCTGGCTGCTTTTAATCTGAGAAGGGAATACTTTGTCTATTATGTTATTGATCCTAGCAATCAGCAGCCCCTTAATGGAAGTACTAACAAGCTTTCCAACAGAGTCCACAAACATTCATTCAGCGCACATGTAGTTGTTGAAATATAAGCCTAATGATATTTTTGGAACTCTGGTAAATTAAAACCACCATCCTTAATAGATTATCTCTGTTTAGCTACTGAAATCCTAGATGATCTTCTTTCCCATATAAATTCCTTTTTTCCCCTCAATATCATATCTATCTCAATAAATATTTATGTGGCACAAACACTGGAATACCTCTTAATACATACAGTAGATTAATCTTGAAGCAACATTCATTTTAATATCATTAATTTTACCCCAATTTAGCAGAATGTTAATCCATTCATTAATATGTAAGTAATTAAGCATCTAAGGCTTGTAACATGTTTAATTGTAACATACTTGTAACATACTTAATTGTTTAAGAATATAAAGTCCTAGATGCCTAATATGGATTTTGATGGGGGTTTTTTTTTCTCATTTGGAAATATTGCTGATTTGTGTTCGTTGAAAGAATGTCTAAGGTGGGGGTGGGTGGCTTGACTGACATTGTGGTTACTGGATATTAGACATATTAAATGGTTCTCAATTCCCCAGCAAATAATTCAAAATCATGACCAGCTTTTTTTTCAGCAGCTGTTTCTCCTGGAACAGTGTGATCTCAAAGTGTGATCTGAAAAATCCTGGGGGTACGTCAACACTCTTTCAGGGGTCCATGAAATCAAAATGATTTGCCAGTCTGTTGAAAAATAATAACAGTATTAAAATTCTATCAAACAATTATGAGAAGCAGTAGTGAAAGCAAATATGTTAGCTTTAATTTTCAACGCAGTAAATAAAGGAAAGGTAATTCTTGATTTACAACCATTTATTTAGCAATCATTTGAAGCTACGACGGCACCAAAGACAGGGATTTATAATCAGTTCTTTGAACTATGACTGTTGTAGCAGCCCCATGGTCACATGATCAAAATTTGGGCACTTGGCAAATGGCATGTATGTATGAAGGTTGCATCATCATGGGATTGCCATTTATGACTTTCCCAGCCGGCTTCCAATAAGCAAAATCAATGGGGGAAACTCACTTAACTTGATGGCCATATGATTAACTTAACAACTGCAATGATTCGCTTCACAACCATGATAACAAACATTATAAAATCATGCATGACTTACTTAACAACCATCTTGCTTAGCAACAGAAATTCCAGTCCCAATTGTGGTTGTAAATTGAGGATTACCTGTATAACCCAAAGAAAAGCTGTTTCAGGTTTCTCCATAATTTTTTTAAAATGGGAAGAGTATTGTACATGATGGAACAGAGGTTAAAGAGCTTTCATAGTAAAAAAATAATTTCCACTATTGTGTCCTTCCTAAAATGGGAAAAAGATAAAAATGGGAAAAATATTAGGGGAGAAATAATTATTTTGAAATAACCGTCATTCTGTTTTCAAGAAAGATTATTCCAACCACAGTTCTGATTCAGGCTTTCAGAAACAGTAACATCTACAGCAGTATTAATAAAGCATAAACCTGCTCTTTCTGAAGAATGCAGATCTGTCTATAATGGCTTCACCTAGCTGGTGAAACCCCATTTTCATATTATTATTAACAGAAGGCAGATTACTTAACTCTCATAAACTATTATATCTTGATTTGAATTTCTGCATATTCCTACTTCTTTTTGTCTATGTGGATGTGTGTTGAAAATATATTGACATCCTGATAACAATAATTAAAGAAGAAAATATGTGAGGAAAACTGTTAATGCCATCTTTGCTGCAATCTGCTTCTAATTCTGGAGACAGAATGTGGAAGTTGTTTTGGCTGAAAGCATCCTCAGTTCTTCTCCTGATATATTGTCATTAAAACACAGACCTTACTATTTGGGAGGCCAGAGATTTTTCACTATAAACAAATTGGTTGATTTGACTCAATGTAGCACACTGGGTAAATTAAGGTCATTTCTTTTAGCAATCAGGCTGCACTTTTTAATATTTACATGAAACTTCTGGGACTAGGATCTAATTCATCAGGATAGATCAGTAGAGTGATGATACCCAATTGAATATTTTACCCCAGGCTGGGTAGCCTATTGTCAATGGCTTAATCTAATGTCTGAAAGTTGATAGGGTTGAGATGGCTGAAACAGGTTAAATCCAAGATTGATGAAATTATTGTCATTGAACTGCCTTTTAAAGAATGGTCTCCCAATAGGGTCACCCCAATTTGAAAAACTTACTGTTGAATGGGCAGGTGAAAACAAGAGCAAGTGGGATTTTGCCAATGGAATCCTACCTGGAGCAAGATGACCACAAAACTGTAATCTTTACAATTCCTTTCATAATCCTCATTTGTGTGGACTAACACAACGCTTACCATGAGGTTGCTTCTGAAAAGTGCCTGAAATTGGTCTAGAATACAAGATCCACACTATTGATCCATATGCCCTGGCATAGGTATACAGATAGTCCTTGATGTATGACCACAGTTGATCCCAAAATTTCTATTGAGCAGCAAGGGAGTTGTAAAGTGAGTTTTGCCCCATTTTATGACCTTTCTTGCCACAGTTGTTAAATGAATCACTGCAATTGTTAAATAACACAGTTGTTAGGTGAATCTGGTTTCCTGATTAACTTTGCTTGTCAGATCATGACCCCAGGACGCTGCAACTGTCATAAATACATGCCAGTTGCCAAGCATCTGAATTTTGATCATATGAATATTGATCATAAGTGTGAAAAACAGTCATAAGTCACTTTTTTCAGTCCCTTACCAGGTAAGGGAGTGGAACTGTTAGATCGGTGTCTAGCTGCAATAGTATATTGGTGCTGCAGGCTCTGCAATTGTTCTAAGCTTTTGAGGACACTTCAAAGTCTATTATAACCTATAAAGCTCTATATAGTTCACCACCCAAATACTTATAGAATTAATAGTATTAATAGTATTCACCTGGTTGGAAAATTCCATGAAAAACTGGCTGATTCCCCATTTATGTGAAAAAAGGAAGGCTGTGTCAACAGACACCTTTTCTTTGTAAGTATGCTCTAAAATAACCTCACCTTGAAATTTGATTGATCTTGAGGTTGTTGGTTTTCTATAAGATTTTAAAAACTGAATTATTTTGGGAACCTGTAGGCTGGAGAATATGGAGCAATGCCATCATTTCTTTAGGTGTCTATAATGGTTTCTTTAACTATTTATATCACTTTTGTAACTACGGTAGATTTTTTTATTGTTGGGTGAATCACCGAGCCTTGTAATTGTGTTGAATAAATGAAATAAAAATGGAATAAATTAAATTGTAAACTAAATCACATGATGTATAGAGAATTCAGATCTAATTTGGGATAGGTTGATTATTACTATTGTTATTTATTAATGACCATGTTTATTCCTATTGGGCTTCACAGAAATAAACTAATCAAATTGAATTGAAATTAGAATTTGGGGTTAGAGTTCAGTGGGAATGGTATGTATTTTAACTAAGAAATATATTTAAGTATGAAATCATCCAAGGGACTATCTTTCAAATTTATAACACTATCCCCTAACTTCAACCACTGGACACATATAATATTTAGAATAATATCATGTAACTTACTAGGTCTAGAATGTACCCACTTGACAATGGTGTCAGCTGGAAATTATCAAAAATATAGAAAATCCAAACCTGTCTTTCCTTGTTAAATATTCTAAATTTGTATAAATAATTCAGTTTCAGTTCATGGTATAACACAATTAAGTCTTCACATAATCTTGAATTAAGAAAATGAGAAAAAATATTCTACTTGATGTTTTAATGTACTTAATGTTATTACATTCATCAGGTGGCTACCATTAGTTCCAATAGGGCTTATGTCTTGCAAACTACCTCCTGGATATACAGTAACAAGACTTTTGCATAATGGGTTAGGTTTTAGTGATGAAATGTAGGGGTCTCGTATACATAAATGAACAGGAGCTGTTCCAGAAAATAACTTTCTACAAAATTCTGACAGGATTTAAGATAGACCCTGACCTCATATATATTTCTTAAGATAGCCAGATTTGGTTATGTATTAATCTGTATCAAACATAGGGTATATACCAGGGGTGTCAAACTCAATTTCATTGAGGGCCACATCAGGGTTATGTTTGACCTCAGGACGGAGTGGGCAATGTCAAAGTAGGTGTGGCCAGCTCAATGTCACCCATATTAGGGGCGCCTGTGGTGTCCCGAGCCAGAGAAAATGGGTTCCCTAGCTCCATTTTCAGCTGCGATGGCCTCCTGCAACCCTCTGCCAGCAAAAACGGAGCCCAGTTTTCGCTGGCAGAGGCACCGCAGGGCAGTCCTTTACTGTTTCCAGGGCAGCCCCGCAGGTCAGATTTAAGCACCCTGCGGGCCGACCCCGGGCCTTGAGTTTGACACCCCTGGTATATACTATTGAAGAGCCTTGGTGGCACAAATGTTAGAATGCAGTATTGCTGGCTAATTCTGCTGACTTCCAGCAGTTCGATTCTCACAAACTCAAGGTTGACTCAAGCCTTCCATTCTTCCAAGGTGAGTAAAATGAGGACCCAGATTGTTGGGGGCAATACACTGACTTTATAAACTGCTTAGAGAGGGCTGTGAAGCACTATAAAGCGGTTTATAAGTTATATTGCTATTGGTTTTAGAATTTAAAAGATGACCCAACACATCTACTACTAGATTAGTAGTGTGGATTTTGCTTGAAAAAGAATAGGATAGTGTCTTTTATTGCACCTAATGACACTGGAGATTCACGGTCATCCATCATTCAGTCAGAACTGGAGGAGCTTCTTGGATGAGAGGCAAAACATCTTCAAGGAAAACAAAGTCCAGTTGTCTTTTTTTAAAAAAGCATCTTTGGGCCACTTTACCTAAGGACAACATATAGTACAATGCTGAAAGCAGAAGCAATTCTGCCCCCCAACATCTGACAACTGAACCTTGCAGACATTAAAGTCAGTGCTACATCTTGCAGTCTAGAGAGGGAGCGTTCAAACTATACACGACTGTCCCAAAGGTGCTTTTTCAAGAGAAAAAGCACCTTTGGGACAACCATGACCTGGAATGACTGAGAATTTCCATACACATATACACAACTGTGTGCTATCCCAACAGCCTGCTTCTCTGCTCAAAATGAAATCGCGGAGGCGGGAAAATCCGCTTGTTTTAAGGCACCTGTTCACGGCAATTTTTAAAAAAGGATCCTGGGGAGAAAAGCTCACACTGAATGAATCTCTGAAGATCGCTGCTAGATTCAGTATCAATGGAGGTGAATATGGCATTCCCATTTTTTTTCCCCCTGCGGCTGAGAGCGTCCTAGTATTTGGCAGGCCAGGGCAGGCTGGCTATAAGCACTCGTTGGTAACACCGGCCGTCGAAACCAGAGTCAGCCTATATACCTTTTCCCGCTCTACCAGGTAGGACCGCAGCAACAGAACGCTGAGCCGAGGCCGCCCGGAGGGTGGCGTGAGGCGAAGAGAGGGCGGGCAGAGCACGGCGCCTGCGCGTCGCAGAGGGACGGGTAGGAGCGCTTCGGAGTAGCTTCGCGGAAGGGCGGGAGCTCGGCTAGTTGAGGTGGCGGGTCGGTTGGGAGCGTGGTTCGGTGTGAGGCATGGCGGAGGCGGCCCTGCCAAACTCAGGTAAGACCTCCGGGGACTTGGAAGAAGAGAGGGACGGGGAGTGGGGGGGGGGGTCACCCCGGGACGACCCCGATTGGGGAAAACCAACCCACGAGTGGAACAAGAGCCTGAGATGACTGAGTCAGACCCGACCCGACCCGACCGTGGGAGGCCGGGCTTTCCGTCCCGTTCCCGGAAGGGGGGAAAAAAGCCGGAGACTTTTGACTCCTCGGACACCATCTCTGCCAACGGTACCACCCCGCTCCTGGTCCCTTATCGGCAAAGCTGAGGTTTCCCCCCCACGCCACCCCACCCCACCCCGAGGCCTGGAGGAGACGGGAATGTTTCCCGTGCAACGACCGCCAGTGCAAGTTCTTGTCTCCCTTGACTGCAGTGGGACTTAAGAGAGCAAGAACGGCTTCTCTTATTTATTGTAGGTCCTTCTCACACTCGCCTGTCTGGATCAGGTGCTGTATAGCAGCTCTTAACGTTAAAATTACCAAGGCGATTAAATGGCATATATTTCCAGGTGAGAGACACCGGGAATATGTCGTGCAAAACATGTGGGGGGAAGGGGGGGGAGAGGATTGAATATTCATTCCAGCCGTGCTCTGCTGCTGCAGTGCATCTTGCATCAACAGATGTGACGCTCGTATAAAAGGGGGGCATCCTGACTATCCAGTCCAGATCATTGACAGTGGGACAGCAAAATATCAAGACCGGAATGCTTTTAAAAACTTCAAAATATCAACTCAAAGGGTCACCCTAAGGAATTAGGCTTATTTCCAATTGCATGGCATTATATTGAGAGGCTGTGTGATTTTTGTCTGTGTGTGCAATTTGGAAAAGATGAAGACTGTAGAAGCTGTTAAACGTTCTTTTCGAACAGCAGTGGCTTAGCTCTGAAAATATATTTTTCTCCTTTTCTGGAATCAAGCACGGTGATGGTTTGAAATGAAATGTATAATTATTTCAGATTTATTTTCTTTAAAAATAGTACTCTGGGTTTAATAAATGCTCTCTTTTAAAATTTAGCTTTATGCATTAATGTTTTCAGAGTAGTTGCCAGGTAGGAACTACTAATTGTGATTAAAAGAATAATTGCTTTCCTAAAATAACAGCAAGATGTTCATGGAGAGTTTAACACTGAGCTACAGCTTGAAAAACAAGTTAGATATGATATTTAAAGATGGCTTGTTTACAAAATGTAACCATTTTATAACATACAACAGTATTAATGAATATGATCACTATACTGCTTTTTAAAACAGTGCTGTTGTAATTGCTGTGTCTTACTGTTGTTTGAGAAAGTGATAATATCATGGTGTAAGGAAAACAACTGTCTTTGATAATAAATGCATATTCTCCATTGGCTCACAAGAATCTTTTTCTAAAAGTGATGAATAGCTTTTACGTTATTTGCCCCAATTGATTAAAGTGTATTCATTGAATAGTGATATGCTTGTTTCATAGTATATGTTTTCCTTTTTCTTAGGTGTCTTAAATCCAGATGCAACTGATTTTGTTCCAAGAGAAAGACAGATTTTCAATCCAAGTTGGAGCAATCAATCCAGGCTGGAATTTAATTGTGATTCAAGCAGAAATTCTTTACCTTCTTCTGTTCAATCTAGGCATAGTAAATGTGAAGATTCAGTTACAGATCGTAATACGTTCTACAGCCCAGAAAGCCAGCATGGATGTCAGCCAAATTCTTCACGATTTCACAGTATTGGTAAAACTAAAAGCAATAGCTTACATAGTCAGCGATGGCAAAGATCAAGGAATGATCGAACACATGGGAAAAATCAAACGAAGCAAATACCTGCAGGGAGCACAGAGGATTCTCCATGTTTAGACACTAGATTAGTTGTAGGGCGTAGGATGAATCATAGACAATACAGCGATTTCTCTTCAGACAGTGAGAAAGAAGCTGCTACTGCAAATAACAGAGGAGCAAAGCCGAAGAAGACATATTTGATGCATTCACGTGGAAGAGGATTGAAAGAAAAAGAGAAACATTCATCTGAGAAGGAAAAAAGAATATCAACTAAGTGGAAGGAAAAGGCTTTTGAAAATATTCCAGCAGCAGATCTGACCCAATCAGATTCATCTGAAACATCTGTTGGAAAAGCAGTATCTGATGGCTTTTCTGACAATAGCATTGCAAGAAGAAAATACCCTTTTGCAAACAGGCATTTTAGGGAACCTGCATGGAATAAAGAAATTGGCAAAAAACAAGATACATCCAGAAGTAAAAATGCAAAACATGTTAAGAATGCATCTCTTCCACATCCTCCCAGAGAACGCACCAGTGAGAAGAGGAAAGAATCTGTGCTGCATGAAAGAGGTCCAAACTTAGTGAGTGTGGCAGAGAAACAGCCGTTCTGTGAAGCAACTACACGTGATGGGAGGAAACCACTTCTTCAAGAAGGATATAAAAACAGACGCTGGAAAAAGCAAAATGATGCACCAAAGAGCAAAGAAACTCATACAGGTAAATTTAGAAACTCTTGATAGAGCAGATTTATTACTGTAACCAAGTCATACAGTAGAAAGATACTTTAATAAAAAGCTTATCGTATATAATTTGTGATTGTAATGTTGCAATATGAAGCCATTGATAAAGAAGAAAAATATGGTTCTTGCCATCTCTTAATAAGCATGGTTTTCTCTCTTTCCACCCATTTCCCATGCCCCTATTTTTACATAGCAATTCCAAATTGTTATAGCAGTTAGTGATATATACAAGAGAGAGAGAAATCACTTTCACAGCTCTTCTTCCTATTGAATAATGTTGCTGATTACTTTTTGGTACAATTCAGGTTTTGAACGGAATGTGATAGTTTATTTGCTTTCCAACTAGAGCACTAATAGCCTTAAAATGTGTCCTAGAGAACTGTGTAGTTGTTGGAGATTTATCAGGAGTTCTTCATAATGTCTAAAGTCTCAAGCTTGTAAAGATCTTTGGGTGCATGGTGCAAGACACTTTCTTCATCTAAGGTTATTGGTTAATCCTAAGAGTTAATCTTTGCCTTTGGAACATATGGGACATGTCCCAAATTTTCTTTAGCTCACAAGCATGTAAAGTTCCACAGCAACTGAGGCAATGACATAATTCACACATTGTACCAAGCTATGGTTTGCTTAATCATTTTTTGCCTAAGCCATATTTTGTTGGGTTCATGCCTGCTGTTAAACCAGAAACTCTGATTTGCAAACCACAATGTATGCATTCAGACTTTTAGACCATGGTATGGCTTATGATGTTGCTGTCAATGTATTAAGTGTTCTCTCACAGTTGAACATTTTGAAAACAATGAATTTGAGACTGTTATTATTTATAACAACTTCTTGAAATGCAGTATCACTGAGAAGGCACTGAACTAATATTGTAATGTCAGCAGCTGCGTGATATTTTTAATCTTTCTTGTACTGCTGAGCAGCCTGATGTTCTGTCACTGTCTGATGTTTAATGACAATTATGTTCTTGCTGCATAAGTGGACTGGTGCTTGCAGAAAATCAGATTACCTGCTTCAGTAATGAAAAAAAGTGAATATTTAGATAATGGTACTGTTAATGCCAGGATTTGAAAGAATGGGTATCTGGGAATAGCACAGTACATGATGTTTTTGAATAAATTGATGTTTGAAGGGGACCATTGGAATAATTTAGCTACACAGGGATAGGTGTTCTATCTAAAAAGATGTCTTTGACATAACAAATGGGTTACTGGCTTTAAATATTAGTTCAGACCAAATAGTCTCCATTACAATACTGTGCTTGAGTGAACTTTGCCACTAAATTTGCAACAAATATGCTACATTAATATAGTTATATTTCTGACTTATTGCATTTTAGCAAATATACTAAATAAGTATTTGTGTAGTAGTATTTAATATGTTGAATATTTCTAAAATCTCTCCTAGGGTCTCTGATAGAGCAGCTTACCTCAGAAAAATATGAATGTATGGTATGTTGTGAGGTGATCCGTGTGGTAGCCCCAATTTGGAGCTGCCGGAATTGCTATCATGTTTTCCACTTAAGCTGCATTAAGAAGTGGGCAAGATCTCCAGCAGCACAGACTGAAGGTTAGTATGTCCTGTTAAGTGTATTGAGAAATTTATTACATTGGAATCAAGCATTCTGATTTTTCATACATTATTAAGGCAGATTATTAGAAGAATGCATCAAGTAATTTCATGCATAACAAATGGTTCAGTACATAAGACTTTGTTATTCAATATATTGCTATTCCTTTAAAACATGAGAGCCAGTTTGGTCTAGTGCAGTGGTTCTCAACCTTCCTAATGCCGTGACCCTTTAATACAGTTCCTCATGTTGTGGTGACCCCCAACCAGGGATGGGTTCTAAATTTTTTTACTACCGGTTCTGTGGGCGTGGCTTATTTTGTGGGTGTGGCTTGGAGGTCATGTGACTGGGTGGGCGTGGCTAGCTGGTCATGTGACCGGGTGGCCATGGCTATGTGTATAGGGACTACCCAGAGGGCTGAAAAATGTGATTTCTGACAGGTCCTCGCACTTTTGACCAGTCTTCGCACTTATGACTGGTCATCATTTATGCCCATTGTACCATTCTTAACAACCGTGTCACTCATTTCACAACTGCTTCTCTTCACCATGGTGACAAGATAAGGCAAAAACATAAATTGTGAGGACAGTCGTAAGTTCGAGGACTGGTCAAAAGTGCGAGGACCACT